TCTTTTTCTTCTTCCTTTCTTTTCTCCTCAGCTTTAGGATACTCGTTGCAGTCGCTCAGCTAGTTGTCAATACACTGAGTTGAGACCGTTACATCTTCACGCAAGCTCTAGGTGCTCAAGGTCAATGTTCTAGCTGCTTCATAGACTGAAGGAGTAGATCTGTTCAGCATGCTCATTACATGGTACGTATGGCGCTGCGAGCAGGCTTAAATGCATTGGCCAAGACGGAAAGACTTCCCGAGATCCAGTGTCAACATGCCTTTGCCGCAGTGTGGCCAAATCATAGGTAGCCTGTCAGCAGATTACGCCTGCAGGACCCCGAACAGGGCTTCGGCAACAGCTGTCCCGTTGCGAAGTTGGAGTTCCCCCGCACTTCACCTGTAGCCAATAATTCTTACCCTCACCTTCTGTTGTGCGTCACAACCACACCAAAGACGATTCTGAGACGCGGACGGGACCGAAAATGGAAGACAGCAAGCATCGCAACCATTTAGCCTGATTAAGGCCGACTGTTTTCTCCACGAATGGCGATGCGACAATTCGTTCAAATCCGGTAGTCGGCAGAGAGGGCCGAGATCACGGACGGCGAGTCTGAAGTCCATGCACTTGCAATTTCGACGAGCTCCGACCGCTACATGGGCGTCCGACTGCGCACCCCTGGGGAGGTGCGCTTCACTGTTGAGCTAATTCCAATCAGCTTGCCGTACGTACACTATGCTGTACTACACCAAGATGACGTGCCGCAACGGCGTTGACGCTGCGATAGTGGCCCCGTAACCCCGTGGTCGCAGCGCACTCAGCAAGATATTCCTTCTGTTTGTGTTATGTCAACGGGTCACGAACGCGCCAGCTACATACGCCCAAAGGCGGTGGAGGGTATCAGCATACGGCCGAAAAGCTTTACAATTACCTGCTCTCCAGAGCCTGGCCAAAAGCTTAGCCTACGTGGCATTGACTAAACTTCTTTTAGAGGGTTCATATTGAGATGGCTTTCCTAGCTCTGTTCGGGCTGCCTAGATGCCCAAGAGCCATATTACTTCTGTTCCATCTCTTCCGCAGCATACACCTCGTCTTCGTTTATCTTGTACTTTGAGGACTGCCGTGCCGAAACGTTTTTCTGGAACTGTGTATAGAGTTAGTTATGATCGTGCGTCTTTATTTGCCTGTCTCTGAGACTCACCATGTGATCCATCTCTCCAAATGTTCGATCTTTGGTCTCAAACAGCCTAAAGTAGCCCCAGACCAGAGTGAGGGTGGCGAGTACCGCCCAGAAGAATGCCTGGCGCAAGGGTTAGCGGTGCCCGGGACTTCTATAATGAGATAGGCGTACTGTCTTGCCCTTGGCGTTCCATGCTCCAGGGGAGATCAGCTTGGGTTGAATCAGTCCACCACAGATGATGTTGCCGACATAGTAAGTGCTGCGGGCCAACACCACAGTTTGCGTTCGAAGGCGGGTCGATCCGATTTCCGCCACGAGGGTGTAGATGATGGGTCCGACCGACATGGAGTACGCCCCTAGCCAGACGATGCAGAGAAGGGACTGGCCCCAGGCTAAGCCTTTGGTCTGAGTTGGCAAAGCCAAGAACCCTATGATCCAAAGGATGACGACAAGAATAGAAAACCCAACCAGCCAGATCGTTCTTCGGCCCCATCGGTAGATGTAGAACCAGGAGATAAGAGTGCCAACAAAAGCGATTCCGGTTCCGCCCAGACTGATCCCATAGGAGGCACTAGCTGATATGCCAGTTTGCTGGAAGAAGAACGATCCGCTATAGCACAGCGCACCGCCGTTCGTTATTTGAGATAGAAACCCCATGCAAGCGATCTCGGTTCGACGGCGATTGGTCCCACGGAATGCATCCCAGTAGCTGACGCCTTCTCGCTCCTGGATCTCCAGCTTGTCCGTGTGAACCATCATGGCAATTGTGGCGTCAAGATCGACTTGATGTTCAGGTTCCGAGAGCCGTGCGAGAGAGTGCTTGGCTTTCTCCAGTTGGCCTTGTCGCACGAGGTACCATGGTGACTCTGGTGCAAACCAGGCAGCCAGGAATAAGGGGACGGGCCATATCCACTGGATCGCGAACGGCACCTTGTAGCTCCACTGCGTAGGGTTGTCAACGAGGCCCTTCAAGACGCCCGCTGAGATGAACTGTCCAATGCACCAGCAAAGATTGACGTAGGCCGTCAAGTATCCGCGAATGGCGAGTGGCGTTACCTCGGCAGCGTATGCAGGACCAGTCGTGGCGAACACTCCCCAAGGAATGTTGCACAGAAACTGGCCGGCCAGCATGACTTCAATGGACGGGGCGAAGAACACGATGAAGATGAAGCCTGTCAAGAAGACAAGGCTTACCATGAGAACTTTGCGGTGGCCCCATTTAGCAGTTGCCCATCCGTTCATGATCGCGCCGATAATGTTGGCCAACGCGCCAAGGCAGTTGAACCGCTGTTGCCAGTCTGCTGAGATTTGATATCCGTTCGTGTCGTCCAACCAATCTCCATATTTCTCTCTGAAGCTAGGATAACCATAGAACGAGCTCAAGAGGGTGACATCGTAGCCCTCCATGATTACCGTCGTCGATATGACTGGTCTGATTAGCGCGACGCGTTTCCGGGGAGCCAGGAGGGACATACGTATGGACCAGAATGCGGCCCGTTTGTACGTCTTGAAGGCCTGGAACACTCCGATGTTGTGTTCTTGCACCGTAGCCTCCAGTGCAGCGTTGGCCAGCGCCTTGTCATGAAGCCCAGCATTGTGTAGATGGCTCAGGCCTTCGTCAGTTGTTTCGACGTGCAGGTCCTCCGGGGCAGGCTTCCCTGTGTCAGCCATGTTGAGAAGAGGCGAGGCTCGCTCTGCAAAAGAGTAAATTGAGGGTAGGTGGCCGGAGAGCCCGTGCAGTTCTATGGGTAGGCACGTCAGTATTTATCGTTGAGTCTTATGAAATACTTGTGCACGCCGTGTCTTCCTGAAGTCGCTGGCTGTGGCGCTGATTTCAGCCAATACGATTGCACTCCAAGTGAGGCTTGGCCTGCAAGCCGGCACCGGGCACAGCTTTCACGTGTATTAGATTGACGGACCGCAAGTTTTAACCGGCAATTCGGGAAGCGCTCCGAGATATATTGCTATGTAGGAAGAGGGCTTGGCCGTGTGTGATCGAGCTGCCGGCTATTCTTCCAAAGAGCCCTGACGCGTCCCTCTTGGCCGTGACAGATTCGAGACCGTGATGGCTCAGGATCAATAGGAGGCTTGGAAGGGTCCAGGACGAACAGGCGCAGTCCGGGGTTGGTGACGAAAATCTGGGGTTGGATCTACGCTTGACCGAATCCGACAGCTCTGGATGGGCCAGACCGGCCGCCGACGCACAGTGGAGTCTTGGGAGTGTGGAGAAGGCCCGGTTAGCATGGGTGTAGTGGCGGTTGCCATGATCATGCATGGCCGGCTGATTGTGGTGAACGGCGACACTCAGGGCAATGCCGAGTCATGATGTCGTCTAATCAGCATTGCGATGAGTTAATTCTCATCGATTGAGGATTGGCATTTGAGGTGGACTGCAGGCCACCGTTCTTGCCTTGTCGCCACAGAGTCGCAGTTTCGGAATTGTGTGGTGAGGTGTCGCAAGAGTCTTACGCAGGTGTCAGCGTTGAGCAAGACGGCTGAACAGCTCTGGCCGGGCCTCGCAGAGTGCCACGCCCGTCCCTCGGTTAGAACGGGTCGAGATCAATAGCGTGCAACAGGCCGGGGCCAACGGTCTCTCGCGGCAAATTGTCCCGAAATACAGGGCACTGAAGCCATTGCTCGGTGGTTCGTATGATCCAAGTACGGGACGAGGAGGTCTCCCCATACCCTGGCCAGGTCAGCCCACCCCTGAGTGCTGACCCCCGCCTCACCCGCATTCCACAGCGACCGGGTATTCTCAGCGGTTAAGCAATCGGCGGGATGGCAGTCGGGTTCAGGCACAATACCTTGCATTGCCGAGCGAATTGAAGGGCTTCAAGCAGCGACTGGATTTAACCGGCCCCGCTGCATCGCGTCCGTGGATGATCTCAGGAATGCCGGCATCCAAGAACCGAATTGAGTTGACTGACAATACGTACGCAGACAAACGCCGTGGCTGTATGTGTTTCCAATGCCAAGTAGACCTTCGCGGCCAGAGAATGGAATCAGAGTATTCTTGATCCCGTGACGGGCTCATGCTCGTATCATTTTGCTCCCAGCTTACCACGGAACGCGGCTCTTTCGCCAATGGGCTACCGGCTGGTCCGGAAGTGCATTGCCACATCACCAACGTTGTGCAGCATGCCATGTTTTCTGCATGAAAGCCATTGCAGTCGCATGCCTCCACCCGCCACAGCAAGACCTAAGCACAAGCGAGCCTTCGCTTGAAGGCCGGGAGTGGAGTTGCGGGGCAGTGCCGGGACGAGCCTCGAGGGAGTCGAGGCACAATGCAGACTCCAGACTCAGAGGGGTCGTGCCACCAGCACGGGTGAATGCACTCGCGATCGGATGACCGGGAAGAAACCCAATAGGGCCGAGCTGTTCGTTCAGAACGCCTACAACATTTTTATGCGCCAGGAAAAGCACAAAAAGCGTTTGACTCCGGGTGATTATTGCTCAAAGGGCATTTTGACGATTCCAAGCTTGCTTGAACCCCTGCAGGTGTCCTCGCTTGCAGCTGAAGCGTCCAATCCGACAGAGACGACATACCTGAGCAACCATCATGGTGCGCCTTCGCGATGGCATGTGGCTCCCGGCGGAGGGCATACGAACTGAGTATGCCGAGGATGTCTACACCATCACACCGAGCAAGGATGAACAGGCGCTGAGCTTGCTGTGCCCGACCAAGCACATCCACTCGCGGGGTGATACTCTCAATCAACCCACCCTGACGCTTGAGGTTGCCGCCGAGATTGATGGTGTCATATCCATTGAAGCAACGCACTGGGATGGCGCACAGAACAACGGTCCTCATTTCGAGCTCTTCCCCGACGGCAAGCCTGCCAGCAATGGCAAAATTGTTCGCGGCGACAATGGAACCACCCTCCAGTCCGGTTCTCTCTCCGCCACTATTCATCCTGATCCTCATACCTTCGACATTCAGTTCCATAGCACGGACGGCTCTCATCACCTCACCAGCCTGGGCAATCGAAGTGTCGGATTCGCTTACAGCCCTGCGCCGAGCACACCCATGCAGCTCGCCAACATGAAGGACTTCAAGCACTACATGTTCATGCAGACAGGATTGTCTGTGGGCGAGTCGGTCCATGGTCTGGGCGAGCGGTTCGGTGCCTGGAACAAAGTTGGCCAGGCTGTCTCTCTCTGGAACGCCGACGGCGGCACCTCCAGCGACCAGGCGTACAAGAATATCTCCTTCTGGATGAGCAATCGCGGTTACGGTGTCTTCATCGACACGCCTGGCAAGGTGGACATGGAAATTGGCAGTGAACGAACCTGTCGCGTTCAGAGCGTCGTCGAGTCTCAGCGCCTCAAAATTTACATCATCTACGGGCCGAGTCCCAAAGAGGTGCTCAAAAGATATACGACTCTCACGGGCAAAGCCGGCAAAGTGCCAAACTGGAGTTTCGGCTTGTGGCTGACGACAAGCTTCACCACCAACTATGATGAAGGAACGGTGCGCTCATTCCTCGAAGGAATGAAGGAACGCGGCGCACCGGTCGACGTCTTTCACTACGACTGCTTCTGGATGAAAGCCTTCACGTGGACAGACTTTGTCTTCGATAGCGAACGTTTCCCAGACCCGAAAGCCCAGATCTCACGCCTCAAGAAAGACGGGCTTTGCAAGAAGGTTTGCGTCTGGATCAACCCTTATATCGCCCAGCATGGTGCCGCATTCAAGACCGCGGCAGCTAAAGGCTATCTTCTCAAGCGGACAAACGGAGACGTCTGGCAATGGGACCTCTGGCAGGCTGGAATGGGTCTCCTGGACGTTACCAATCCAGAAGCCGTGCGCTGGTATACCAAGTGCCTCAATGAGCTGTTTGACAAGGGGGTCGATGCGATCAAGACCGATTTCGGTGAACGCATTCCGACAGAAGATGTCAAATGGCACGACTCCAGCGTTGACGCGCACAAAATGCACAACTACTACGCATTCGCGTACAACCGTATCGTCTACGAGGCTCTCCAACAACGGTTCGGCAAAGACGAAGCTGTTCTGTATGCTAGGGCTGCCTGCGCGGGTACACAGCGTTTCCCGCTGCAGTGGGGTGGCGACTGCGAGTCTACCCCTGAGGCATTGGCCGAATCCGTCCGCGGAGGCCTGTCTATGGGACTGAGCGGGTTCTCCTTCTGGAGCTGCGACATTGGTGGCTTCGAAGGCTCCCCGCCTCCGTGGATCTACAAGAGATGGGTGGCTATGGGACTTCTCTGCAGCCACAGCCGGCTCCACGGAAGCAACTCGTACCGTGTACCTTGGCTCATCGACGATGATGACCGGTCGGAGGAAGGTTGCTCCACTACACTGGCAAAATGGGCAGCGCTGAAGAACCGCCTCATGCCTTATCTTTACGCTGAGGCCATGGAATCCATTGAGAATGGCCTGCCACTCTCTCTTCGATCTGTCGCCGTCGAGTTTCCCGACGACCCGACGTCGTGGTTCCTCGACCGCCAGTTCATGGTTGGCTCACGTCTGTTGGCCGCCCCCGTTTTCGAGGAGTCGGGAGAAGTCGAGTTCTACCTTCCCAGGGGTACATGGACATCCTACTTTACAAACGAGACCAAGAGCGGCCCTGGCTGGTTCAAGGAGAAGCACGGCTTTGGAACGCTGCCCCTCTATGTGCGCGAGAACACGATACTGGTCCTAGGTAAACGGGGCCAATCAGGCCCCGTTTACGATTATGCCACAGATGTCGAGGTCTGTTTGTACCAGGTGGTACCTGGTGCGGCAGCTGCCATCGTTGATGCAAACGGCGATGTTGTTACGCAACTCGTGGCTGAAGAGAATGGGAACATCAAAGGCACCTCTCAGCTGTCAGGGAAGGTTACCTTCACGAAAATGGGTCGCAGCCTGGAAGGCGATGCTCCAGTCTCAATCAAGACGCTATAGAGTTGGTCTCTACCATGCTAGAAAGGGTATCCAAGCAGGGCGGCACGGAACTAGCAGTAGACGTGTGTGATAGACTTCTTTCACTATAGACGAGTTCAAGAGCGCATTCAGTAAAACCACGCTTTGCATAGGCGCTCATAGTCTATGGTCCAAGGCACCTCACAGGAGCCATTTACTGAAGTCGAAGGCAGCCTGCGCCTGTCCAGCAGCCAGGCCGGCCGCCTTCAAGGAGTTCCAGTTGACGCCATTGATACCGACTTCGTAGTCCCATCCCTGGTGTGGATCCTCGTTGGGCAGGATCTGCCAGTAGAACCAAGGAATGCCGGCGGCGGTGATGCTGGCCGCCCAGTTCTTGATGTTGTTGTCGCGCGTACCGGAGTTGAGCGGGCTGCCACCGTTGCAGTTGTTGTTGGATGCGGTGGTATAGCATGCTCCCCATTCCTGCATGATGAGCTTCTTACCGGCCTGCTGTGCCCGGGTCACGTATGGTTTGAGCGCGCTTGTTGCGAAGTCTCCGACACCATAAGCATGAATGGCGAGCACATCCAGCGCGGCGCAGGAGAAGTAACCATCCAAAAGAGAGTTAGCCAGCCAGGCACCACCACCGGTGGAAACTAGGATTGCGGTGCTGCCCTTCAAGTTGTCCTTGATTGCCTGTGCCATGGTACACTGCCATGACTGCAGGGCCGAGGGATTTGCCTGGAGGTGTTAGCTGCGCCGCCCCCCGTACGTACATTGCATCAAATGCGTTCATTGTGAAGGTACGAGAAGCAATTGAACCCGCTGTGTACTAACCTGGTCATGCATAGCCTCATTCTGAGCTTCAAACGCGAAGATGTACTCCGAGCTTTGGCTCCAAGGCTTGCCATTGTGAGGATTGACATGGGCCATGACATGAGCGATCCGATTCTTGAAGTATTGGATGGCGTCGCCGTTAGTATAGAAGTCCCCGGTTCCGTACCATTTCCCGTAGAAGTCGACATTTGCTGCGAGGGCGTTGTAACTGTGGATCGACACAAGCAACTTGATGCCGTAGCCATGGGCGTTGGCCATGAAGTCATCCAACCGATTCAGAACAGTGTCGTCCCAACTAGCCGGGCTACTGCCTTCAAGGCCATTGAAGCCATTGATCGGAGTGCCCTTGACAGTCCCAGATTGTCCTTGACCTGTCAGCTATAGCTAGCTTAGTGTTACAGAGTGTGAACTTACCATCAAGCCACACTCGCAGCACCTTGACTCCGGCACTTTGGAGACCAGACAGGAGCGTGTGCTGTTGGTCGACAGTCAATCCCGCAGCATAGTAAAGATTTGACGCCGAAAAGGAGTTCGCTGCCAGGGCGAGTGGCAGGCTAATAAGAGCCAACCCCCCGTTGAAGAGAGAGCTGAACTTCATTGTCTTCCGATGTCTGAATGCTTCTGTCTTGAGTGGGGCTTGGTTGATGGACGGTGTTCTAGTCGAAGTTCCATGGCCCTTTTATATCAATGAGCAATAGGCTCGATCATGTCCGCATGGTGAAGTTCCCAGGCGTCGCATAGCGTTGCATAGCTCTTGTCTTGACTCTCATTAACCCCCGGGTTGTGGAAGTGCCGTGCGGGGTGCCATGTGTGTACCCCAGGATTCACTCCCACATCCTTCATAATGCACGATAGGGTCGCCTCTGAGTGGACAAGCACTCTCATATTTTCTGTTCTGGGAAAGGATTGACGGTAGTCACAGTAGATGCCTTTGTGGGGTAGCACCAGACGAGCATGGCGTCTTGCCACACCCGGAGGTTTAAAAGGCCGCCTCGGCCAAACTCACGGTAGCCCTTGACGTTGTCGGGGACTTACTACCAGCCCATGGCATGAAAGTAGTAACCTTAGATTACGACGAAATGCACTCTCATCGCGCGGCCCTGGTACGCAGGCAGACCCATCAGGGTCGTTGCCGGGACCTCACGCTGTATGTATGTGTGGGGGCGTACGGGGACCCCAGACTTTGCGACGAAGGGACAACGCGATGCGGAGCACGCCGGACGCCAGGCCTTCGCTAAACACCCCTGCTCGAGAAGTATATTAGTTTGCTATGGTAAGTTAACTAGAAGAAACTGTGCAGTAATCCATTGAGCGTCATTAGCCGTGGATCAATTGCCTCCTACGTTGTGACACTATGGCCGGCGGTTTCAAGGTTGACTAGTGTGGGCTTTTATAGTGCCGTCGGCTCATCCCTCGATTCAACATCCGTGACGCAAATTTCCGTTCGGCCTTTGATCTGGGTCCGGGACGGAGGCAATTCCTTCGATACGACTGCTCCAAATCCTGTTTCGCGCCGCACGGAGTCAAATGTCACCAGAGCATCTGCACACATCCGGTAACCCATGCCATGCGCTCAAACATGGAGCGACAATGGTCTTTAGACGAAGGTAATCGGTCCCAACAGAGAACTCCGCCAAACTTGGCAGGTTCTAACAACATTAAGTGGCATTACATAACCACGCAGAAGACTGCTGGATGGCAATCCATGGAAAGGTGTACGATGTAAGAGAACTGGCGAGACTGGAGTGTTGAGCTAGACTCAGGTGGTTGACTTTGGCTTGCAGGTGACAGCATTCGTTCCAATTCATCCAGGCGGCCAAGCTATTCTCCTGAGGAACGCTGGTCAAGACGCTACCGCTTCCTTTGACTCAGTACATCCTATAGAGATACTGGACGAATACGTCGAATCGGTGCAGATCATGGGTGCCTTATTGGCGAAACACTCATCAGCCGACATGCCTCCTGACAGCGCATCAAAGTCTCGTCAACATGCTGGTAATGAAGAAGACCTGGCAACTTTGGTGCCTCTCGAACAAATGCTCAGCCTCCCAGAGATGGAGGCAAGCGCGCTCCGCCAACTCAGCCCGAAAGCTGTCTCATACTACGCCTCAGGCACAGATGATGAGCTTACCATGAGACACAACAGCGCCATCTTCAGATCCATCTCCTTGCGTCCACGGGTCTTTGTGGACTGCACGTCCTGCGATCTTTCCACAATGATTCTAGGCGAGAGCGTTGGCCTGCCAATCTTCGTATCACCTGCGGCTATGGCGAAGCTAGCCCACCCCTCTGGCGAACGAGGCATCGCAGCTGCATGCTCCACCTTCAATGCCCTGCAAATTATAAGCAAGAACGCGTCGATATCGGTCCCTTCAATCGTCGGCGCTGGTGCTCAATCTGTCTATGCCTGGCAACTATACGTCTTGAAGGACATCTCGGCAACGGAAAGAACTCTTGCGCAAATAAGAGCAATCCCTCAGATCAGGTTTATCGTCTTGACTCTCGATGCCCCGTTCCCAGGGAAAAGAGAAGCGGACGTCCGTTTCAAGATGGGGGAGATGGCAGGATCTTCCCCTCCACAAGTATGGGGGACAGAGGGTAGCCTCACTTGGCGAAGGACTCTGAAGTGGCTGTCAACCCAGACAAGTCTTCCAATTGTACTAAAAGGCATCCAGTGCCATGAGGATGCGTATGCAGCCACGAAGTTCCCCTCGGTTAAGGGCATTATCTTGTCAAATCACGGCGGCAGGGCACTTGACACTGCCCCGAGTCCAGTGCAGGTACTCTTGGAGATTAGAAAGTTCTGTCCGCAAGTACTCGACAAGGTGGAAGTCATGATTGACGGCGGTATTCGGCGTGGCACCGATGTCGTAAAGGCTCTTGCGCTCGGCGCAAAGGCTGTCGGCATCGGGAGGGCGGCGCTATACGGCCTCGCTCTAGCGGGCCAGGCGGGAGTTGAAAGGACGCTGGAAAGTAGGTGTCTTCACTTAAGTGGCTTGTCTATGAGGCAAGAGAAGCTGACATGCGCACAATCAGTACTGGCTGAAGAGACCATGACCGCTATGCGGTTGCTCGGCGTGAACCGCGTCTCTGAACTTGGGCCAAGACATGTGCGATAAACATCAATCTTGGAAGCATCGAGGAAGACGCTAATTCTTTGTGCAGATCTCCACGGCCAAGTTGAACGACTTGCTTTTCGATGGGGAAGCTGGATTGGACGTGGTTGACAGAGAGCTTGGCGCAAAGCTGTAAGAGGTCAGCCTAGATCCATTTAGAAAGCGTCACTGCGCGTCCCGCTCCGGTTATTCGCAGCGATCATGGGATCAGACATGCGGCGTGCCTTTGCATGTGAAATAAAAGGTCCATTTTCAAAAGATCTGCACTTCAATTGCCGACTTCAGGTCGAGCCACATCGTCTTTCATAGCAATAGCCGCCGTCGCGGCTATGCAGTGAGGGGTTCCCGGAAACATGTAAGCGCGGTGACAGACTGTCGCAGAGCTACCTCGCCCGAAGGAACGACATCGCACTATAGACCCCCACGGAGTGCAAGGGCTTAAATTAAAGCTGTTCCCGGACAGGCCGTAATGATATTGATAAATAGACTTGATGGATACTCCTGTGTGAGCGAACAACTTAAAGGCCCCCGCATGTATCGCAGACGAGCCGCGATCGTACCGGCAACACGCACTGATAGATCAGCATGGCACCAACACGACACGAGCGGAAGCTGTCGCTCGAGGAGGTCGAGGACATGGAGCCAAGCCCCGAAACGTATGCGGCCATCATGGCCACAAACAAGCCCAACCCGCGCGGGCCGGGTTATCTGAAGCTATACATGCTCGCCTCCGTCATCTTCCTTTGCTCGACCATGAACGGTACGACAGCGCGCCGAGCTATTGCACACAGCCACTTACATGCGCCTAGGATTTGACAGCGCCCTGATGGGTTCAATTAATGCCCTGCCCAACTACACCAGCTACTTCGGACTGCCGGAGACCGGGAACGCCAGTACGGGGCTTGTCTTTTCCATTTTCCAGGTATGCTTCACCAACTCGTCCGCCCTTCGGGGCTTGTCATACGGGGCATCGGGCTGACCCTTGGCTCTTCGTCCAAAAGATTGGCCAGATGTGCGGTGCTCTGTTCATCTGGATGTCTGACTGGTACGGACGCACGTGGCACATCTTCTTCGGGTGTTTGGGCGTGTGCATCGGGACAATCGTTACGTCGCTTTCGACAAGTCTCCCCATGCTCATTGGAGGCCGCTTCATCCTGTCTTTTGCCGCGACATGCGCCCATACCGCCGCGCCGCTGTATTTGGTCGAGATTGCGCCAGCTGCCTACCGCGGCACGGTAGCTGGCTTATACAATACATTCTACTATGTGGTACGTCGCCGTAACCGGGCGCATCTCGGCACAGTCTGACGCCAACTATGACTAGGGGTCAATTCTGGCGACGGCCAGTGTCTACGCCTGCCACAAGCACCTGAGCGGCCATGGAAACCTGGACTGGAAGATCCCACTGTGGCTTCAAATGGTCTGCCCCGGGATCGTGTGTCTGGTGATCAAGACGTTCCCTGAGTCTCCGCGCTGGTGCGATCCCTTTGGCGCAACCCAACAACAGTGCATCGGTGCGACTGACACGTAGCTAGGCTCGTGGCTAAGGATCGACATGAAGAGGCCAAAGCGATTCTGTCCAAGTACCACGCTAATGGCGACCAAGATCATCCTTTAGTCAAGCTCCAAATGTCGGAAATGATTGCTTCCATGGATAGCAAGGCTCTTACCTGGAAAGATCTGTTTGATCTGCGCGTCCTCTTCGAGTCGAGGTCAAGCCGGTACCGTATCATGCTCAACATCACTTTTAGCTGGTTCGGGCAATTCAGTGGAAACAAGTGAGTGATTGTCGTGCCGTGGCTACCTTTGGCCGAGGAATGGCGCTGACTATCGCAGCATCATATCATATTACCTCCCCATCATGCTCAAGGGCATCGGCATAACCAGCACAGACACAGCCCTGGTCCTCAACATCGTGTACTCCGTTGTCGGATGGGTGTTCGCATCGGCCGGTTCCCGATTCCACGACGTCGTTGGCCGTCGCAAGATGCTCATTGGGAGCACTTGCGGCATGACCGTGTGCTTGGCCATTGTGGCAGGCTGCGCCGCCGGGTACACCGACTACAAGAACGAAACCGCCTCGACAGTGTCCATCGTCTTCATCTTCCTCTTTGGCGCCATCTTTTCCGCCGGCTTCACGCCCATGCAGCCAATCTACCCCGCTGAAGTTGTCAGCAACAAGATGCGGGCCAAGTCCATGGGCGTGTTCAAGCTGACTGCCGGCGCTGCGGGCTTCCTCAATACCTTCGTGGGGCCAATAGCATTGTCGAACGTGAGTCGGACTCCTGAGTCGTCAACCGCAACGATGCTGACAACCGAACAGATTGGCTACTGGTTCTACGTCTTCTTTGTTGGTTGGGACTCATTGGAGGTGATCTTTATGTACCTTTTCTTCGTGGAGACAAAGGGCATGACTCTGGAGGAGCTGGACGTAATTTTCGAGGCGAAGAACCCTCGCAAAGAGAGCTTGAGGGTGAAGAAGATACTGGCAGACGTAGAGGTCGAGAAAAGCGCGACTGGGGCGGCATAGTAGAGCGAGCGGCTGTCGGCTAAACGCATCGATCTTGTATCTCACTACTCGTACACAGAATTATGGACATGAGTCGCTGCCTTGACTCCCTGGAATAGAAGCAGGGTTGATGTCGAGTGGACCTCGAGTACTCTCTCTCGCTGTAAATCGATTCGATATCAGTCCTCATCCCAATAAACTTCTGGCTTGCCATCGCAGTTACGAGCGGCCGTCACCCTGATGCCGACCCCGTCGTTTCGCCACACCTCTCCTCCAACCAACTCGGGCGTCTTTTTCCTTGGGATGGCACCTTTTCCGCACAATGTCCGCGCCTTCGCCTAAATATTTCCCCCGACTCAAGTACCTGGTCTGGCCGCTCTTCACTGCACGTCAGCCTTTAGAGCCCGCACGTGGTCCATCAGGGATTTGATCAGAGTGGGCTTGGATCAGGAGCGTGGGCAGTATTTTACCTTATTGCACAACCATACAGCAGATTCGTACTTGCACGTCTCACGTTTGCATTTGCCAGGAGCTGTAGGGTAGTACATGTAGTAGTTGTTGGCGAGTGTTCCTTGCAACCATTCGATGTGCTTCTGAATTGCATCGTTGTAGACGAGGGGACGTCGTGGGTTGAATGTGCAGTTGACGTCGTACTTGTCCTAGAACTTGGATTCTCGCCGCTCATGAGGCCTAGCAACCCTGTCACCATCTGTTGCAGATTCGGGGTTTCCGCTCAAATCCGGCTTTAAGCTCTTAACGTAGATGTCTGCTCTGGAGGCTTGGGGACTTGAGTGGCGGCTATTGGGTGACGGTGGGTGTTCTGCCGCTGCTGGGGAGAGGACATCGTTCTGTGGCTGCGAAGTAACGAAGCCAGTCGCCTTGGATTCGGAATTACGGCTCGAAACCGGCTTGGAGGCCTTCACGTAGATGTCCGCTCTCGCGCCCTGGGGAGTTGCGGCGCCACTGTCGGGCGATGGTGGGTAACCTGCCAAGAAAGGGAGCGCATCGTCATGTTGTGCTTGTGCAGGGACAAGGGCAATCACCTGAATGAAACGGATCGTGAGCTTCGCCCAGTCTACTCGCAGCTCTTATCGTGACATACCAGCGTGATGGGTGCCAGAGCGGCGAGGATTGCACCGTTACACCTCATCGCCGCCGGCGGTTGCGATGAGGTTCACTGTTGTTTGGGTGATTGCGCTGACTGGAAACTTGTTACCACGATCGAGTGCATTTCGGGCAGTTGGCGCTTTATTATGGCTTTCGCTACAAACTGCTTTACGCTTTGGCCACGGAGTCTGTTACGACTCACGAGATGGGAGTCAAGAATATGTTGCGCTGGGCGGGCGCGCTTGGTCTGTTCCATGGTTGCCTGAGACGAGATCGACGCCCGTGCAGGACTGAGAGCAGGCCATGTTGCGCCGCACCAAGTTGGGTCAATTCGATTAAGAATAGAACGGCTTGGGGAGCCGGGAGGCAGGTGAGTTTTTAACCACTCTGTATTCACAGGCGAGATCTTTGGGCTCGGCAGAGACCGACCTGCCCCGGGGTCTTCAGATTGTGGAGGGAAGGGTTGGGCCTCCGTTGCGAGAGCTCGGGGGCGGCGCCTTTCAGCCCGCAAGGCGTCGTTCAGTGGCCTTTGTGCCACTCGCAGCGTGTTCGCGAAGACTTGATTCAGCGACGATGACAATACCACTGCGAGGGAACACGTAATGCAATGATGTAGCTGCATTTCGGGGGCAGGTTGGGCGCTGTTCGCCAGCAGTCTGGGGCGACACCACGAACAGGGCGGGCGGGGCGCAAGCACGCTGAAACGGAAATGGAGCAGTCGCGGCTTTCTGTTTGTCGAAATTTATTAATTGACATTTCACGATTGTACTTTTCTGTCGCGCTCTGCGAGTCCTGGCGTCCCCAGTCGCCGTACAGCGTGCCGCGCACATGCATGGGGGCTTCAATTGCCACACACGACAGACATTGACCATCTCAAACTCATGAGCCGGTCCGTCACTTCAAGAAGCCCCAGAGGTTATTCAGGCTCTCGGCCAGCGACGGGTGCGCCCAGACGGCATCGCGCAGGGCCGTCCACTTGACGCGCCCAACCATGGCCATCTGCACAACGCTCATGATCTCGCCGCCCTCGAGGCCCAGGCAGGTGAAGCCGAGGATCTGTTGCGAGTCGGCGTCGACGACGGCGCGCATCAGGCCGCGCGTCTCGTCCGTCTCGAGCGCGCGCGCCACGTACGACATGGGCATGCTGGCGACCTGGATGGTGCGGCCCGGCGCCAGGTCGCGCCGCGCCTCGTGCTCGTGCAAGCCAACGTGGCCCAGCTGCGGGTCCGTGTAGACGACGTAGGGCAGGATCCGGCCCGCGGCCGTCAGCGGCGTCGCGGCTTTCTCGAGAAGGTTGGCGCGCAGCAGCCGGAAGTCGTCGTACGAGACGTGCGTGAAGGCAGGCGGGCCCTTGACATCGCCGAGCGCCCACACACGCGCGTTGGTGGTGCGCAGCTGCGCGTCGACCGTGACGTGGCCGCGCGCCGTCGTCTCGATGCCTGCGGCTGGGAGGTTGAGCCGGTCGGTGTTGGGGACGCGGCCAGCGGCGAAGAGGACGTGCGATCCGCGCAGCTCGGCGTCCGGTCCGGAACCAGTGGTGGAGACGGACACGGCTGCCGTGCGGTCACCGGCACCGGCACGGACGGCCGTCGGCGACGTGTTGAGCAGGACCTTGATGCCGTCCTCCTGCACAATCTTGAGCATTGCCTCGGCCACCTCAGGGTCCTCGCGTGGCAGCAGCTGCTTCCCGCGCTGCAGGATGGTCACCTCGGCGCCCAGACGACGGAACAGCTGACCAAACTCGAGGCCGATGTAGCCGCCGCCGATGACGACGAGATGCGACGGCACCTCGCCCAGCTCCTGGATGGACGTCGAGTTGAGGACGACACCGGGGGGGAACGACGATGCGTCGAAGCCGTCAATCTTGGGAGTAGCGGGTCGCTCCCCGGCACAAATGAAGATGCGGTCCGCCGTCAGCGTTGCCCCCGCGCCGTCGTGGGTGCGCACGCGGAGCGTATGGTCATCCTCAAAGCTCGCCTCGCCCCTGATGAGCTCGACGCCGGCGTCGCGGACCCTGCGCTCGCTGCCGGAGCGGAAGCTGTCGACAATGTCGCGCTTGCGCTGCCTCACTTTTTCCATGGCCACCTGCACCTCGTTGCCGCCGCCCACGGTCACGCCGTAGTCCTTGCCGCGTCGGGCGAGGTAGGCGACCCGCCCGGAGGCGATCATGGTCTTGGTCGGGGTGCAGCCCTCGTTGACGCAGCAGCCGCCGACGTGGGTGCTCTCGATCAAGGCCGTCTTGTGGCCGGCCTGCGCAAAGGCCATGCTGAGCGGCGTGCCGCCCTGGCCCGACCCGATCACCACGGCTGCGTAGTTTTTAGACATGGCGATGTATCTGCGCCGAAGGAGGAGCGAGCCAAGCGATTTCTGGGGCAATCGTGTCAGGACTGTCGCGAATGGCATGTGATATCAATTCAACAACTCGAACTGCACGAATTGATGAGACTGGACGTGAGAGAGACGAGTGGGGGACGCGACGCGACGCTGCAACTGCTGCCCACTTGGCTTTGTATATCAATCAAGCTCCAATGCACACCAAGAGTTTCGACGCGCGCTGTGCGGGGAACCGTTGAGACGCCGAGCGATGTTCCGTCGCTGCCGAGCTGCAAGCGTTTGTGGCTTCAACAACAAAGTATAATAAATGGCGAGGACGACCACTGACGTCCGCCCACCAGCCAGGTAGTCCATCCACCACGAGCTTAGCTGCATCAATTGAGACCGTTAGCTGCATCAGATCCCGAGATTTACCTCCAGTAATCTGCTTGGGCGGGCCGCCCATGTAAGCCTGCGACTGGCCGTGTCCGCCGACCTGCCGGTGCCCGGCAGCTCAGACTCAGACGTCCAGTGATCACATTGCGACTAGGTCTCGAACGCTGGCACTTCACCGCAGCAATATCAGCGGCCATCCTCGCCTTTCACACTTGCACTGGAAATGCAGCGATCATGCGCGTAAAAACGAAATCGATTCCAGAGCTTGTTTTGTCGGAGGTTCGATCGCAGAGATAGCCCCAAGATAAAAAAAAAAAAGAAGACAAAAGTAGAGCCCAGGCAGAGCAGATTCAGGCAATTCAAGAGACAATCAGCCAACTTCATCAGCGCCGTCACGGCCCGAGCACAAAACACCTAAGCGCCCTTTCCAGAACCCGATCGAAAAGATGCACGACACGGTACAAGGTCCTCATCAGAATCCGCCCCGGTGATTGCCGGGGCTCGGACCCCTCTGTATGTCCGTGAAGCTCCGCGCCGGGGGAGGCCCGGGGCTCTGCATGCGCGCCATATTCTGGGGACCTGGCGATCCCATCCGGCCATATGCACCCGGCCCCGATTCGCTCCGCATCTGGCTCCGGCTTGGGGATGGCAGGGGCCCCGAAGGAGACGGACCCGGGCTGGGCGGTACGCCAAAGTCGAAGCCGCGCGGGCTTCCAGGTCCGCGAGCCGAGGGCGCAGGGCTGGCCATGCGATGATTCTGCGCGTGCATGCCGCCAGCCGCCGACGCGGCTCCCCACGCGCCGTCACCTAAAGGGCCTGCGGCCGTCGTCTCGGGGACATGGTACGAGTCGGCATCGCCGAAGCCGCCCTTGCGCATCTCGTGGGCGTCGTACTCGTGGCCGTACTCGGAAAAGCCGTCGGGGTTGATGCCCTTTTTCTGGAAGTGCTCCATCTCGTGGCGCTCCGCGGCAGCACGTTCTTCGGCAAGGCGGGCTTCCTTGGCGCCCCTGCGACGCTGGCGAAGGAAGTAGAAGAGCAGCGCGCCGCCGGCAAGGGCAACGAAGCCACCGGCTCCGGCGTAGATGCCAATCTTGGTGCCGGACGGCAGGGCGGCCCACTTCTCGCTGACGGTCTTTTCAGGTTCCTTGTTGAGGGCCTCGAAGGCGGTCGAGTTGCCGCTGCCGGGGTTTTCTTGTTAGCATGCTGCTCTCCAACATTCTTGTCGTCCTGTGGCACGTCATGGAACACCATGGAACACCAGGTCACACCTCTGGGAGTTGGTCTACTCACGCGGCGATGTTGATGCTCTTCCAGCTGCCGGATCTGTCTCCGTACGAGTACTCCTTGCCGGAGGAAAAGTCGGTAACGCGGGCAGCCTTGAGATACATGGTGTAGGGCCCCGAGGCATAGTCGGTGTCGCCACCAGCCCACTTGCGGGTGCCCTCGGGCAGGGAGGGGTCGCCGCCGGCCCAGATGCCGACGCTCATGCGCATTGGAGTCTGGGGGTAGTTTTCGGTGTTGTTTGCGTCCTTCGCGACAAGGGTGCGAACGTGGTTGCCATCGATGAACCAGTCGATCTGCTCCTTGGTCCAGACGGTCGTGTAGTTGTGGTAGTCGTCCTGCATGCCCGTCATGGGGTGAGCGCCGCCGTTGCGCCAGTCCTGGCGGCCCTTGCCAAAGTAGTTTGTTGTGGCAAAGGTGGTGTTTGAGCCGAGAAACTCCCAGTCGACCTCGTCGAGGTCGTCGCTGAGCCACATCATGGAGCTGACGATGCCACGGCCGGGGGCGACCTTGAGGAGGATCTCGGTGCGGCCGAAGAAGAAGTAGAACTTTGTGCGGATGGTGGGGGAGTCGCCCTGCTTGGTGATGGTGAAGCCGGCGCCCTTGTCGGCGTCGAAGGTGACTTTGCCGGCCGTCGTCTCCCAGAGGTCGTTGGAGGGCGTGGCGTTGAAGCTGAAGAGGTGCGATGTGCCCCAGGCGGGATTGGCAGGACAGTCCTTCTCGAGCGGGTTGCAGTCGGTGTGAACCTGGGCGCGGACGTGGTGGCCCAGCAGCGCGGCGGCCGCGAGGGCGAGCTTGGGGAAGCGCATTGGGGGCAACGACGAGGGAGTTTTGGTTTGGGGGTCGTTCGGGCGAGGATCGTGGCCGCCTCTGAGCCAGCAGAGGGCGTGGCGTCGATTTGAGGGAAAAGGCGGCAAAGGAGTGAGGTATACGCGATGGCCGGCCGGCGAGCGGTCAAACGGGGTCGTGGTCAGTCGGTCGAGTACATGCGTCGGGGACTAAAGGAATGTGGTGAAGGAACGGTCTTTCGGCAACGGTAAGTAGCAGATAGGGAGCGGACGCCGGGAGACGAGGATCTCCGGCAGATGGGGGGGCGCAAATTCGATCAAAAAGGAGCGACAATGGGTTGAATGGAGCAGGACAAGGAGGAGGAAGCAAGAAGACCAGGAGGAGGAGGCGCCGGCGGCGGCGGCGACAGGAGAGAGGTGCCGTCCGGAGGCCCAATTGCACCACGGCCAGTGACCTTCTGCAAGGCCCGTGTCTCGCCCTAGGCCGGCAGCCAGCGAGTCGTGCGGCGGGCCGTCTCGCCCATCCTTCTGCCATGGTCCAGGGCGCGCCAGGGACTCTCACTCACCCGATCAGGAGTGGAAATTGCGGCCCCAGCGGTGTGGCCCGTTCTCTTCCCAGCAGACCCCAGTGGGCGTCCAACGATGCTAGGCACAGGTTCCATCCATGGATGTCCCTGGGCTCCAGTTGGCGGCGGTACTGGCGGCGGGACCCCCTTCCAGGTTGGCTCCCCGCCGTCCTCCCCCTCCCCACCAACTAAGTTAGGTACCTTGGAGCCGGCATTAGCAGTAGGCCCTGAAAGCCCCCCCAGGGGGGGCCCGGACGGGAAACCTCCGCTACCTACGGTGGCCTTGGTGCTGCAGTTCGAACCACTTCCGGGCATGGAACAGTTGCGCGCTGGCCAAGCCAGCGCTCACCTCATGAACTTGAAGGGATAATGCGCGATTAGTGCGCTGCTCCCCCGTGGGCCTGCCGCCCGCGAAAGAATGGAGCGAGCAACCACCGACAATAAAATGCTTCTGCCACGAACCAACAACCCCTACGCTGGATTGGAAGCGCCCCCCCCAGCAGGTTAGGTGACTCCGGCTAGCGCATCTCGTCGGCCAGCGGGTGCCTTGCATGTCCCACAATCACCCAGCCAGTCAGGGGCCGCGCCATGTCCCGATTGCGTATCGATGCCGCTCTGGCCGCTGCGTCGTGCGACGCAAAAACAGGAGGCAGGCACGATGGATGGAATTGCCTTCGCCAGGCTGCCGAGAGGAAAAGGGGGCCAGGCTGGGCAAGGGCATGGAATGAATCCACACCCATCTCTCCACCTTCCTTCTCCTCTCCCACCGCCCGCCTCGATTGACACCGTGACACCGCCGTCCCAGCGCCCACTATCCGTCCATTCAGGTTCCATTCAAGTTCCAGCAGGGCGTCGAGGGAAATGCCGGCACACACGCACACACACACACTCGACTTCTGCAGGGGCGCAGAACCCCCCCTGCTGGCCTGTGTGAGACACTCGACTCGTCGCGTCGTGCTTGGCGTTGGCCGCCCATGTCGGTCGCATCCGCTGCTCAATCAACAGCGTCGTCGATTTAATATCAACAGCCATGGATCCCCTCTGCGTGCGCCTGTCTGTGCCTCTCGCCGCCAGGCTCTTGTGACGTAGCCGGCGCAGCAATCGGTCGACAAATGTAACCTTTCCCAGCACCAAAACCCGACCGGCTGCCGAGCCGCCCCTGGCAGATACGCAGGTCGCACTTGGATGACTTGGATGGGTACAGTATCACTAACAAGTCACTCCTGGGTCCGATGCCCAAACGACACGCGCTACTTCGTACCAAGGAATGAATCGAGACAATGCACATGTCGGTCCTGGCGCAGCACGCGACGGCGTCACCGGCAGACGGACGGCAGACGCACACGCACACGCACACGCACACGCGCTCGCGTCCTTTGTTTGTGGCCAAGCATCGAGATCGAGCGACACTTTTGTTCCCTTGCAGAACAACAAGACGAGCGATACCACACGTCTTGTCTCGTCTCGTCTTATCGCAGTGCTATACCGACACCGAGTACTGCTCCAGACGCAGGGCGCAATGCCCCGTCATGGTGATGGAGCCACTTCTCGCGTTCATCCTGATCAACAACAACCGACAACACTCGCGTCAACGATCAAAGCCTCGGCTGCGTCTTCTTCCCCTCCGCTGCCGCCACGTCGGGCAACTTAAACACCCTCTTGGCGTTGCCCCCCATGAAATCCGCCAGCACCTCTTTCCGGAGCGTCCCCCGCACCCCCTGCCCGTGGTGCTTGTACACCTTGTCCACGCAGGCCTTCCACCCCAGCTGCGGAAAGTTGGTCCCAAACATGACCTTCTTACGGCCCGTCGTGCTGGCAAACGCCATGAGCTCCTGCGGGTAGTAGCGTGGCGACCAGGCGCTCGTGTCGATGTAGACGTTGGCGTGCTTCCACGCCACGGCCACCATTTCCGCCGTCCACGGGTACCCGACGTGCCCGCACACGATCTTGAGGTCCGGGAACTTGAGCGCCACTTCGTCGACGTACGGAATCGGCCGCCCGACCTCGCTCGGGCACAGCGGTCCCGTGTGCCCGGCCTGCGTGCAGAACGGCACGTCGAGCTCGACGCACTTGACGAAGAGCGGCCAGTAGTGCGCATCCGTCGGCGGTAGGTTCCACAGCCACGGCACCACCCGCAGGCCCTTGAAGCCCTCGACGCGCACGTAGTGCTCCAGCTCGTGCACCGCCGCGACCGGGTCGTGCAGGTCCACCGACGCGAGGCCGAAGATGCGCGTCGGGTAGGCCCGCGTGTACTCGGCCACGGTGGCGTTGGAGAAGAGCGTCGCGCCAGGGCGGTGCCACGCTGCGAGGCAGATTTGCGACACGCCCGCCTCGTCCATGAGCGCGATGAGCTCGTCCGGGCTCAGCCGGCGGGCCGAGAGCGACGGGTCTGCATGGCTCTGCTCGAAGAGCCGCTGGACCTCGGGGATGTGAAGCTATCGCAGGTCAGCTTGCGCTCTGCGCAGCCGGTCAGGGCCAAGTCATTGTGTGTACTCCCGTTGGGTTGGCCCACACGTCGACGACGAGAGGCAACGAGCTGGTGGCCATGATGACGGATGTGTGACGGTGCTTGCAAGACTCAAGTCCCCCGTCTCATGCAGCGTTCAGGATGCCCCAACGTCGCCAAACACATGCCGAGGTAAAAGTGTGGGGTAACCGCCGGCGCCCGAACTCAACGCCAGATGTCAGGCTACGTAGCTAGTGCATGATGCCGTATTTCGTACCGTTCCTGGGGGTCCACAGCGACGGTTGGACCAGCTCGACCTCGTGGCCTAGGGTCCAAAGTCAAGTGCTGCTCTTGGCTGCTGTCGTCCATGTCTAATGATGCGTGGCACAGGGTAGCCTCCGAAGCCTCTCCCAATGCACCGTCGCGGGGCGACGTTGTCGGCAATGACGGACTTCAGTTGTAGACTTGATTTCATGTTGAATTCATTATTCTTTTCGCTACTCTGAGTTTTCATCTGTCATGCGCGCTGCTATGATACAGGTATCGTCATTTCTTCAGTCAATCAATCAGGCGCAGAGAACTCCGAAACGCACGCAACGAAACCACCACTCGTACATTTCCCGTCACCCCAACTCAGACAAGACGCAGGCAAACCGTCACACTCGGCAAACATGGATTTCTCAGATCCCTCAAATGCCGTGTCGCCCCAGGCCCTTGCCCCGCTTCGTCACCTCCTTTGCGTGGCGCTGCTTGACTCTCGCGCGGCGGGCATCCTCCTCGGCCTCGGCCTCGACGCGGCGGGCATGCTCACGGGCCTCGCGCACCCGTAGGCGTGCCTCCTCGAGCGCGCGATCGGCCTGCACCTCGGCCTGCTCCGCGTCCATGACGCGCTCGCGCGCCTGCAGGATCGACGGGTCGACGTCGTCGTCGCCGTGGCGGCCCATGGCCCGCGAGAGCAGGCCCGGCTTGCTGCCGCTGCTGTGCCGGTGATGCGAGGAGTCGGCGCTGCTGCGCGACGAGATGGAGTGGCTCGTGCGGCTGTGGTGCAGGAGAGAGGAGGAGCCGTGCGTGGTGGTGGTGGCGGGCGGAGACGGCGTGCGGTTGCGGTGGAAGAGTCCGCCGCCGGTGCCCGTCTTGTGGTGGGTCGTCGCCGGCACGGGCGCCGGGGCCGGGGCCGGCTCGTGCCGGTGGAAGAGGGAGTTGTGCTTGCGCGGGGCCGCGGCCGTGTCGTGCACGGGAACCACCTCGGGCGAGGGCTCGCGTCTGGAACCAAAGAGGGGCATCGTGTTATGTGTTCTCTGTTCTTCTGGGTTTATGGCCTTGTTGTCGTCGTGGGCCTGCGTAGCAGTCTGTAGTAGTGTAACGGCTGGTTGTCAATGTTGCGGAGGACAAGTGGAAACGTGAAGAGAGCCAAGAAGCATGGACCCTCTGCCAAGAGACACGCACGAAGACCCCTTATTTATCAACGGCATCGACGAGACACACAGACCAAGTCCCTTCGCTTTCTTGGGCTGCCTCGCCGCATCGTTGGGGGGCCCTCGATTCTGGCGTCGAAACCGGTTTGCGCTGTCGATCGGCCTCATGACGTCAAACCGCTGCACACTCACGCTGCTCACCACCACGAACCCCAGCCAGCCACACCGCGCCGGGCGCATGCAGCCCTCCCTCGCACAGCGCGCGGCCAATCACTGAAACTGAGCGCTGTCAGGGGTCGGACCCTGAGGAAGTTTTTGGACGACGACTAAGAAGACTCTTACGTCGACGGCGGATCGTGATGGCATCATCGCGGCCGCGGTGCGGGGGAGAGCCGCAAGACTCGTGGATGCATGACTGCGCTCTCGGGTCAATCTTGAAGGCACCGTCCATCTAAGCCCCTCCGTGGTGGGAAAACAGAAGCCTACTTTGTACGGTTGGTAGTAGTAGCAGCCCGAGCACCTTCGCTCCGCCTCTGGCCATGGCCGCCTGTTCGTCAAAGCAAAAGATTACAAGGCATACGACACGCCCCCAGTCTCTCTTCTCCTCCTTCACCTAACTCGCGCCGGTGTCTCTACTCTCGCGCACGTGCCCCTGGCACATAGTGCCCCTCTAGCCTCTCCTCTTCCGCTTCTCCTGCTCCCATTCTTCTGCCACTTGCGCACTCTTCTCCTCGGATGTATGCAGATCAGAACGCGCAAACCCTGTCCCCTGCCTGTCTGGCCAACCGCCGCCTAGTATGTACATGCGTGAAGCGAAAAGAAAGTAGTGTCATAAGAATCGAAAGAGTATTGGGGGAGACAAAACCGCGCAAAACACAAAGGGGAATCCTTGAGGTATTATGGGGAAGGGCCGCGTCGTCGCATCGTACGTGCCCTCCCTGCTTCGTAATGGAACGCCGGTGGGGCCTCGTTCGTTTCCGGCTCCCTCACATGACGGTGCACTTGTTATCCTCGCGCTCCTTCTTGACGCTCAGAGCAACGCGCGCCGCCTCGGTAAAGGCCTCGTTGACGCCCCGGTTCTTCATGGCCGAGCACTCCAGGTACCGCGACGCGCCTATCCGCCGTGCCACCTCAAGTCCCTGGTCGTAGTTGATGGTCGGGCCCTTTTCGCGCGGCTGCCCGTCCGCGGCGGCCGGATTGCTGCCCTCCCCGCCGGCGTCGGCATTGGCGTCATCGTCCTCGCCGCCCTGCTCGCGGAGGTCGCACTTGAGCGCCACGAGCACCAGCTTCACGCCGGGACAGTTGTCGGCGATCTCGCCCACCCACTTGGACTCGACGTTTTCCAGCGAATCTTTGCTTTCGACCGAGTAGCACAGCATGATGAGGTCCGTGTCGTCTGCGGGTTGGGTTGCGTCAGTACACCAAGTCAGGTCCCTTCTCGAAGCCCGCCGAGGGGTGATGCGCACCGTATGAAAGGGACCGCAGGCGGTCAAACTCTTCTTGGCCTGCCGTGTCCCATAGCGACAGCTCAATGTGCACGTTGTCGACGAATATGTCTGTTGGCGCCACGCGTCAGCCTTGCCAGCCACTTGACCCCCTGACCCTCTTGTTGGCTTTCCACGACGCACCATGAACATAATTCTCAAACACGGTCGGCTCGTAGACGGTAGGGAAGTAGCTGCAATGCAATGTCAGTCAGCATTAGTGCGCCGCGGGCCTGAGCCTGGCCCTGGCGCCGCCATCTGCGACGCGCGTCGGCAGTTGGAAACGCACCCTCTGGTGAAGACATTGAGCAGAGACGTCTTGCCGCTGGCACCATCGCCACTGTCGTGCGCATGTCAGCTTCTGCTTGCCTGCATCGGCCACGACTGTCATAAGCGTCGGCGAGGCGGGCACCCACAGCAACACCAGCTTGCGCTGGACCGTCTTAGATCCGCCGCATAAAGCAGGCATGGCGAACGTCGGCAGTCACCGAGGGTTGTCGCGCAAAGTGCAATGAGCGAGTCGAAGGAAGCCCACGTCTCTTGTATGTACCTCGAGCGAGAAGGGCACCCGAGGCTGCGGCGATACGGCGGGGAGTGGTTGGGTCTCGAGATTCGAAGTCCCTGAAGTGGACACGATGGTAAGGTCGTCGTCGTCGTCGGACGCCGGTCGAGCGACAGTAAGGGGACGGCGGCAGTCGAGGTCGCAGGTCAACGAGAGCGTGAATGTCGCGGCGACAAAGGACAATCGGGCGAGGTGCGGCGGCTGGAGCACGACGTGGAGAGAGGGCGAATGCGTGCGCGGTGGGATGGGTGAAGGAAAGGCCGAATCGAAGCCAGGAGTCGGAAATGCACGAGGTGGAGGATGAGCGACGGCGGATCCAATCCAAAATGGATGATGGAACCTGCCCTGCTGAACCCAGCGGGGTGGACCCAGCTGGGCTGGACTGGACGCGGGAGGTTCCAGGTCCGGGCCAATCCAGCCCGTCCGCTAGCAGCCCACTAACATGAGCCTGGAGCCCGGCGGGCTGGGGCCTGCGGGCTTCCAGCTGTCCGGGTGCCAGGTGGGCTGTCCCCTGGGCCTGGGTGGTCACTGCCCTGCAGTGTACGCCCGGGCGGATACCTACAGGTACTACCTAGTAATAGCCTGGTAGCCAAACTGCTCGTTTGCGCAACCCTAGGCAGGCCCATGACGATGGGTGCCCCCGGCGCAGAAGGTCAATTGATGAAGACGACGGCGGGAAGCGCCCACTTTGTCAGTCACGCCTAGTCACTGAAGCAGAGTGCCTCTGCCGAAATGCTCGGACCAGGTAGTTGCAAGGTGGTTCATGCTGGATGTCGGGCGCCGTCGCTGGGTGGAGAGCCCCATCACTGCCCGGCGTCCACTACTTCGTAGGCTGGCGTCGCTCATCATCTCACCACTGGGGGCGCTGCAGCAGTACTAGAGGTACCTGCAGCGCCCTGGAGGCGCCACCTGCATTCAATCCCACCTGGACGGGACCCAGGCTCACCGTCTGTGCCAGCTGAGAGGGGCATCCATGCCCGGATCCCGTCGTATTTATAGCGCACCCGCCAGACACGACACCACCTGCACCTGGGCATGCATCATGGAAGCGCCCGGGAATGAGATTCTGATTACTCCTACGTACGAAGTGCAGGGTGGCCCGTTGGCTCGACCAAGTAAGGTTGTCTGCATTCCAACCACGTTATTACGTCCCCTGTACTGTACCTGGCCGTGGTAGTGGGTAGCCTGTCGTCACTGGCTGGCTCCAGCTGATGGCTGTAATTCCCGTCGCGAATAGCCTCATCAGCCTGTCCCATCACGACACGAAATGGCTGCCACCCAAATGTTCGGCATTCGTTATGAATCCACGACGTTGCCGCCTCAAGACATATGCATGTCTACATGGGTACCCGACCACGACAAAACGCCTAATCGATCCAGGGGTTCGCAGCCCAACCGCATCGATGCCAAACCCCAGCGCAACCAACACGAGGTCTCCCCTCCAGCCAGCTAATCGTCGTCTCTCTGGTATCCCTGCCGCGCTCTCCCCATCCGCTCCGAGAGCGCCATGTTGCCCGCCTGCTTGTGCAGCCCGTTGATGAATCCCCGGTCGCCCGCCCGGTCCCTCGCCCGGTCGTCGGCCTCTCGCGCCGCCCGCTCTCGTTCCTCCAGTTGTCGTAGCCGCGCGTCGCGGTCTTGATCCAGCTCCGATGCCGCAGACTGCATCGCCGCGAGCCTCCTCGCCCGCTCCGCTTCCTCGTCCTTTTTCGAATCGCCATTTGTGTCTCTCGGGGGGTATCGACCATCTCGGTGGTTCCCGTTCCGCCTCTCGTCCCGCTGTCTCGCGTCACGGTGCTTGTACCTGCTTCCATCTCTCGCTTCGTCGTCTCTGCGTCCATGGCTTCGTCGCCTGTCCTCTAAAGACGGACTCCTCCGCCGCTGCCGCTCCTCGGAGCCCGATCCGCGCCGCTGCTTGTCTTCGTGGCGACGACGGGAGTCACTATGTCCGTGGCCGTGGCGGTCTTCTGATCGGTCTCTGTCGCGTCGTGGCGGACTGCGCTCGTCCGTATCTCTGGCTCGCCTGTGCCTGTGTTTATACTCGTCCTCCGAGTCGTCGCGCCGGCGCCGTCGTGGCGATCGCGACCGTGAGTACGATCTGTGCCGCCTGTGTCGTCTCTCGTGGTCGTGGTCGTGGTTGCGGTCGCGATCCCGGCTCCGATGTCGGTGGCGATGCTTTCTGTGCCTGCTGTCCTGGTCCCGTTCTTTCTTGTCCTCGATGCCCATCGACGACAGAAGCTGGCGTCGCTTGATTGGGTCGTTCATCATGGCCTCGTAGGCCGCCTGTTCCTGCCGCTTGATGGCCAGCAGCGGGTCATCGCGGATCTTGGATGCTGTATCGCGGGCGCTGTTCGCGTTCTGCAGCGCCATGAAACTCTCTTGCCCGGCGGCCTTCTCCAGTTGTTTGTGTTCCGTGCCCTTGATCAGGTTGTCGATGCGCCGCTTGCCCAGCAAGTACGCCTCCGTCTCTTCGCTCGTGCCGGCCTGCCCGTCCGTCGGACCTTGGTACATCCAATCGACGCGGTCTACGCGCTTCTTGCCGCCCGCGGCCTCGAGCTGCCGCTGCAGCTCCTCTTTGGCGCGCTCCTCCTTGATCTCATTGATGCGTTGCTGGGTGCGCTTGCGCTCGGCCAAGGCTTTCTGTTCTTCGTCGTAGACGGCTGCCTGGTTCCGTCGCAGCGTCGGGTGGAACGACTTCTTGAGGTTAAGATCTCCGCCTCCCATCTTGACGGTCGGTTCGCGCTGGCTGGGATGACGATGGTGTTGATGCAGAGATGAGGCACCAGCGGGGTGGCGATAACGTGGGAGGCTGGAGGTAAATCGAGGTCACACTCGCCCCACTTTTCTCCGTTCACAATTTACCTACCCTAAACTCGGGGGCCAATCTCGAACGTCGACAAGTCTCAGGCCGCACGGGCAATTGCACACGCCAACTTGTTGTGAGGCTTTCAATAAAATCAAGAGGTATATTTAGCCTATGTGCCTGTTCTATGCGACATTGGACTGGAGCCGAGGGCGATTGAGCAGCAAGTTTGTGCGGCTTGTCTCACCGCGGCAGCACATGGCTAATGATGCTGGAAGCCTGGAACCAGCATTGCAAGGACCAAATAGCCAGCACAGAGCCGTTGTCGCATAGCTATGGTGTCTATGTGGCGCACCACGAATGGCCCTCGAGGTTGTGTGGGATTGGGGGTCGCGGCCTAACTTCCACCTGAGTGCAGATGGAGGCTTGCCCCTGATAGCAATGTCGCGGCGCTGAAGGTGATAGGATATCAGAAACTTTGCATGGGAACAAGACCAGAGTGCGTAGATATCCGGCCCCCGAAACCGTTAACTAGTATTCGGGGTACCGTGAAGAATCATCTGGGAGGGCGTGCCGACCCGCGGCGAAGAAGCACCGTAAACGGCGCAGAGTCTGGCCAACCGATCGGTTGTGGTAGAAGGTCTATTTGAGATGATACACGCTCCGTAAATGTACAAGGCAAGATTTCCCGCTCCGTATTCGTACAGCCCTGGGCACTACCAGCTTGCCCGCTTCACGCCGGGCAGGTTCCCAGCCATGGCTTCCATGCGAAAGTTGAACTGCGAGTCTGTTAGCCCGGAGCCACCGTCGAGTGGCAGTATTGCATCCGTACTCTTGTCATCTTAAAGTCGCTCAGGACACCTCTTCCCTGGCCGCCCATGATGCATCGGTTCCGGATCTGCGTGGGGCGCGTATAGCAGTGCATCTGGGTGAGCTGCAGCTGGGCCTCGGCGCGCACGCGCGGCGCGAGCGTCGTGTTGCGGATGATGTATCGGAGCGCTTGCCTGTCGGAGGGACACGCCGGGTCAGCATTGGTTCGTCAACGCGGAAGGAGGCTGCGCGGGGGGTTGATGCGACGGGAGTTGAGTGGCGGGACGGGGAGGAAAAGGAAGATGCACACCTCTCGGTCTCGAACTGCTCAAAGACCTTGCGCTTGGTGTGGTCGCGAATGGTTCGCGCCTTGACGAAGCAGCCCAGGTCGAGCTTCTTGGCGCGAAACATGGACATGTTGGCGGTGGTCGGGGTTTGCGACGTTGGCGAACGGCGGCGGGCGAGGTCGAGGACGATATCGCGACGAGCCTGCCACCCGGAGCAAGAATATGGAGACGATTCCCGGAGGCTGCGGCACCGAAGTTTATCCGTGGTGGCTCAGCGGGGGTGGTGAGAGGCTGACAGCTTCGCGTGGCGGTGCAAGTGTGGCAGACCCTGCCAGCTCCGAAGTACGTACTCCGTACTTCATCGTAAGGTAGGTACCTGATCCTGCCGTGTGTACATAATACTTCGCACCTGGTGCTCATGTCTCCAACCTGGAACTTCACACGCCGCACTTCACGCTGGCTCTCGCACGTCAAAAGCCGGGAACCGCCGCTCTCGACGCTCGGCAATGCGCGTACCGCCTCAGGCGTCGGCCACAGCAGCTTCAAAGACAGCGGCAAGGCCGAACAGCCTGCCAATGCATGCGGACCCCCGGTAAGAGTGCGCCGTCCCGAGCCGACGCCGGGCGTGGCAGCTGCACGCGCGCACCACCACCACCACCACCACCACCATGCAGCATGCATTGCAGCCGCCGGCGATGCGTCTGTACGCCAAGTTCCAGTCCCTTACCAAGGTGTCTCGTGCTCGCGACACGCCGTCCACGTGCGCGCCAGCCGCCAGTGGGTGGAGAGCGCGCAACGCAGTCCGCCTCGCTGCCCCCATCGTGTCTACGCTACGCGGGCGCGAGATGGCGCTGAGATGAGACTGACGTTTCCCCAAGAATAGTCGAGCAGCGCCTCGATCTCCGCCTGAGTTGGTGGAACGACAAGAAAAAAAAGAGCCGCCGCGATGCTCCCGCCCAGTCTTCGCGGGCTGTGCCGCGCCACCCCTGTCAGACCGTCGCCCTGAGCCCACTCGTCAGCACTCTGCACCGCCTGCCCACAAGCGCGAGCCGACGCCGGCGTCATCTAATAAGCGCGCCGCCGCGTTGCCACGAGCTCTCTCCGTTGTCGAGGCCGACGAGGGAGAGGACAGAAAGTCGCATCTCTTGGGGTCTGCTCATGAGTGTCGAATGCGAGCAATACGCCGTGCTTCGTGTAACCACCAACAGCCTGCATCGTGAGCTCCCCCAGCCAGGCCTGCTCTGCTTCGTACCACGTCCAAACAGCAGCGGCGCCCGGCGCCTCGGCGCTTATCGGCAAGCATGGCGGCAGGGATCGACATCCCTCGCGCGTCAAGGCGGTCAATGGCAGCTCGCTCCAGCCACACTCGATTCGTTGCTGATTCCTATTCCGGGGACCCGGCCCTGGTCTTGCTCGCTTCCAGAAGTCCCTCGACAGCCATGAGCGTGTGTTGTGGCCGGAGAGCGTTGACGGCAGAGGCGCACATGGCATCTCCCACCGGGACTTTGCCGTCTGGCGTGTCTGACTCGGCTTGCATCTCACCCATCTTGACCCATGGTATCCGATGGCGTCCTTGATCCCCCGCCATGAGCTCCCTGCGCCACCTTGTTGCCGGCTCGAGCCTCTGTGTCAGTGGCCAGCATTGGCAAGTAAGAGCCCCCCAGCTCGACGGCTCGCCTTCAAATCATGCTTCTTCCCAGCTGCGCCTTGCTCCAGCCAACCACCCGACGGGGGCCGGCCGGCATCTTGGCCATGCATGCAACGAATAGCGCCTTAATACCCAGCATCGAGAGCCCCAATGCGGTATCCTGCCCAGGAGAAGTGCATCTAGAGTCGGCCGGGGGTGTCTGACTACTGACTACCGAACCGTCACATCTCATGAGCACATATAGGAGGACCCTCACCCTCACACACGGCGCGGCTCCCTAGTCGAGGCATATCTTGGTCCGCTCCCACGCAGCGCACGCCCACGACCAACCCTCCGCTAATTTCCACGTGTTGGCGGAGCCTGGTAGGGTGCCTCTGGACCCCGACTCAAGTCTCCGTCTGCTCATCCGAAGCTGCGAGACTCAAGCCCTTCCAATCGGCGCACCTCCTTGCTCCGGCGCGGCAGCCTTGGTCGTGAGGCGAGTGAGAATGGGGGCGAGGCAGCGCTGGAGAAGGGAGCCTCAACTCTTGACAGTTCCCTATAATATATAAGAAGACATCCTGTCCGTGGCCGTTCTGCGGTTCGGTAGACAGCAGCCACCGCGCCAACTCAGACGAAACCGCATCTCCGGCACAGCGCTTTCAGCCACCATGTCGTCTGGCCGTAGCGGCAGTGTGAGCTCCAAGGGCAGCAACAAGTCGGACCGCCCTCAGGTTAGTCACATCCGGACCTCCAGCTCACTTTGCGTTTCAACACAGGGTTCCGCCAGACTGACCGCCCCCCAAGGCAGCAACCCTTCAGCTCATCGAGGGCCTCACAACACACCGCATCAACACCCTCACGGAGCTCTGCCGCATCGAGCGTATCGCAGCCGCGTGCCAGGACGAGGCCGACGCGCGTGCCTTCCAGCAGCCTATGACGGCGGCATGGATCCACTATGTGACGAGCCACCAGCTGCTGACCGAGCTGCGCGGCCTCACGCCCTCGTTCCCCTTCAGCGGCGAGGTTGTCCGCGACGCCTACACCCGCGTGCGCGTCGACCCGGACAGCAACCGCAGCTGGAACCTGGCCTGGCTGTGCCTGCGCCGCATGCGCGACGACGGGCTCCTGCGCGCCTACGCGGCGAGGGAGGCGGCGCGCCCGGAGATGTGGGCGGGCGGGCAGCCGGCCGAGGAAGAGGTGCTCCGGCTGGCGGCGTGCTTTGAAGGCGAGTGGGTGGCTGCCGTGGACACGATGCTGCGGCACTGGCACCAGCCACCGGCTTGGTATTGACCAAAGTGCTCATGCTTAGGCACATTGACTGAGGCAATGCTTCGCTGCGAAGGAGTTCTCTGGGAAGGGCGTGAGAAAAGCACGCCTTCTTGGGCTGGAGCCCGATGGGGCCTGGCGCAAGGAGCCAATGGGCTTTGACATCTTGTTTGCGATTTCGCGGACCAGCTCAGGTTCCTACTTTGAGCCCGTCTGGCTACCTATACTTCACGGCTTGCACGGGAGGTAGAACAGACTCTTGATTCATCAACGCCGACGCCTCGCGTGGGGCTTGACTCGATGCTGTGCCCCTTTTCCTCTTTCCCAGTCATTTGCCTCTAAACGTATATAACTTTTTACGATCTTTCGCACTGATAGATCCTTCGTAACGTCATGGCGTCTATACGCTGTCATCATTTCGTCGTCCGCGGTGCTCATTGCCCGACTCTTCGTCCTCCTCTTCCTCGCTGTCCCAGTCCTCGCTCTCAAGCCCGTCGCCGCGGATAAAGAGGGCACCGACGGCGCCGATGAGCGCGAGCCCGCCGAAGACACTCCACGCAAGAGCCTCACCCTTGGGGCGCACGCCCGTCGAGAGGGTGAAGAGGCCGCCGCTGACAAAGGGGCCGATGCTGCGGCCGAGGGCGGAGAGCGTCTGCGCCACGCCGTTAAGCGTACCGAGGCTGGCATGCGACGGCGCCGAGTTGGTAATCTGCGGGTACGCTGTTAGCTTGCGGTCACGACAAGTGACGAAGCTCGAATGGAGTTTTGACGTACGAGGAGCATCACGCTCGACAGGCCGCCAACGGCGCAGATGTTCTTCAGAATGAGCACGACGCCCAGTTCTGCGTACAGCCAGCCCCTTGCGCTGCCGACGCCAAAGAGCGGTTCGTCGTCTGTGTATCCCACCCAGGGCATGAGAACCATGCTCAGGGCGATGCCCCAGAGAGACAGCCGGTAAGCGCCGAGGCTGCCGATGCGGGCCTTGAGGGGCTGGTACAGAAAAGCCTGGAATACGATGGTGGCTACCCCCGCCAGACTCAGGCTGAGCCCGATTAAACCGGGGGAGAGGCCGCGGCCCGTGGGTGGCTGCGAGGAGGCAAAGATGGGGTAGAGTGAGTTGTAGGAGATGTTGGAGAGCTGGAAGACGAGATAGGTGACGAGAAGTGTGAGAGTTGTGCGGTTGAGGATCTCGCGCCAGGGCTGACCATTGCCGTCACCATTGGCCATGTCGGCACGGAGTGTGGGCGGCGATGACGACGAGGGCGACTGCTGCTTGCCGGCCGAGTCAGAAGTACCAGATGCCACCTCGGTCTCGTCTTCATCCTGTTCCTCGTCGTCAGAGTCAGGCGGTGAGGAGGCGTGTAGAAGCGGCTGGCGCAGCTGGCTATTTGTGGGCCACCGAGAGCTCCACGAGTTGCGGTTCAGGGACGGACGCTTTGCAGGCCGACGGAACCAAGCCGTGAGCGCGGTGATCCACTGCGGTCGCCAAGGGCCATCGTCGGCATCACTGTCCTCAAGCGTCTCCTCGAACCAAATGCCGACGACTACGACGCTCGCGGCCAGCATGGCGGCGCCGAGGACGTTGGGTCCGAGGAAGGGAAAGGCATCGCCCCACACCTTTCCGACGAGGATGCCGCCCAGCGCAGGCCCCGTGATGCTGCCAAGTGAGTATATAACGGGCAGGTAAGTGAAGGCTCTGCTCTGGTTCGAGCGGTCCGTGACTTCTCCGAGGACGGTGGGGACGCAGGCGGCGTTGCCGTTGAGCAGGCCCATGGCGACGTGGACGACAACAACCTGCCAGTACTGGCGGCAGAAGCCGAAGACGCAGAAGCAGGCCATGAGGAAGGCGGTACCGGCTAGCAGGACGGGTTTCCGGCCGACCAGGTCGGAGGCGTAGCCCCAGAGGAAGTTAGTGGACAGTTGGGCCAGCGCGAAGGCTGAGGCAAGGATGCCGACGTAGAGGCCAACGTCATCTCGCGGGATGCCGGGCATGGACACGACCATCTCGGGGAGGTATGGAGAAATGGAGTTGAGAGCCGTCTGCTCCGAGAGGGAGAGGAAGGCGAGGAGGAGGAGCTGGCGGACGGGGAGCGGCGTCTCGTGCCTCCTCCCGTCGCCGTCAGAGGATGATGCGGCCGAGGAGATGGACGAGGCCGACGAGCGAGACGACTCGGGGGAGGCGCGAGACGAGGGGATGGCGGGCTCGACGGCGAGCTTGGGCGCGGCGAACGTCTGGTAGCGGTGCGCCGAAGGGGAGATGACCGAGGAGGAGGAGAGGCGGCGGAAGGTGATGAGGGTCGGGATCGGGGCTCCGGCGTGGAAGGAGGCGGACGAGGAGGTTCTGCGGGAGCCGGAGGCTGCCCCGGGAGCGGCGGCGCCGGAGAGGGGCCCGACCCCCGGCCGGGGCTTCGGAGGGCGTGTCATGGTCGAAGTCGAGAAGGAGGACGAAGGTTCGAGGCGGACGGAGGAAGCTGGTCGCGTGCGGTGGTGTCGGCGACGTCGACGGCGTGGGATGAAGAGGAGGTCCGGAGACGGGAGGCAAAGGAGGAGCTCAAGCAAAGGCGATGCGAAGAACCTCGAGCGACGAGGAGAAGACGACACGAGGTCAACGAGGGCCAGAGGCAGCGGTGCGTGCGGAATGCATGCCCATGAGGCTGCGACACGCGCACGCCACCGTCTCGGTTCGGTTGGGTGACTTGGGTCAGGTCGCAGGCCGGGCGAGATTGTTTGCCGGTCGAGGCGGTCGAGGCGCAATAGGCGAGCAGAGCGGTAGATTGTCTCGGCGACGAAAGAGGTCGGAAGCGGATGCGAGAGGTGCGGTCAGACGGTTCGTCGCGTCGTGCACTCGCTCGGCGATAGGCCGTAGGTTCGGCCCTCAGCTGACGATGGGTTGGACGACGTCACAGACTCGCCGTGGGCGGGCCACTAACTTGGTGATTGGAGCCGCCCTGTAAGAATGATGGTGTGCCGCCGCCACCGAGCCGCCGTGAGGCGTTCAGTTGAGCGCCCGGTGGCTGGCTTCCATCGCTCAACGTTCGGCGGGGGGGAGAGAGATGGAGCAGTGGAATCAGCGGGCTTGAGCGCTGCCAGCCGCTGTGCGCGGCGGCGTAGGGGTCGACGCGCGCGCTGGAGGTGAAGACAGCCCGGAGCCTGTGGCAGCCCTGCGTCTCGGATGCCCGCCGCCACTGTCGATTGAATCTGCGGATCGACAAGCAGCCCTGCAGGGCAGCGCTGAGCACAGGGCAATTGCCGACCTCCCAGCCCGTGGACGGGAGGATGCCCGCCCTCCGGCCACCGCCGATAGGCCTGCCCAGCGCGCAGCATCCGCAGCTGGCACACCTCCAACGCCCTAGGTTGTTCGCGACAAAACACCAAAACTTGTTCATGTCACTTGCGCAATCTCGCTCCTCGTCATCATCTACGCTTGATATTGTGCTACATCCGAGTTGAGTTATCAGGGGTATTACTCCGTACCCTCCGCTGTTAATCGCCCGAAACGCCAATCCGACCAGTACCCTACCAGACACAACAGGCTATCGTCGTGGCCATCCATCATCAGAGGTTGCCCGTCCGGAACAGCTCCATGTGCAGCCTCTCGGCCGGCACGCCCCTCTCGGCGAGCCAGTCGCGCGTCTCGAGCATCCAGCCCTCGGGCCCGCAGACGTAGTACTCGGCCTCGGGGCTGTCGAGGTGCAGCTCCTCGCCCACCTTGGCCAGGTCCATGCGGCCCTCGACGTCGTAGTCGTCGCCGACGCGGTCCCCGCCCGCCACCGTCTTGACGAAGACGACGCGCCGCACGTTGTCGTGCTTGGCCGTCGCCTCCCTGACCTCGTCGCCGAAGAGAACCGCTCCCGCGTGCCGCGCGCCATGGATGTAGCTGATGGGCCGCCGCTCCCCGGCCCGCAACATCGTCTCGAGAATGGACACGACGGGCGTCGCGCCCACGCCAACCGACAGCAGCACGACGGGCGCGTCGGGCTTCACCTCGGCGGCGTCGTAGTAGAACTCGCCGTGCGGCGGGCTCACCTCGACCTCGCTGCCCTCGGGGTACTGGTCGTGCAGCTTGTTGGACACGAGGCCCGGCACGCGGCCCTCGGCCATGTCCTGGGCGGTGGCGCCGTCGGGGAGGCGCTCGCGCTTGACGCTGACGCGCAGCTCCGGCAGGCCCTCGGCCGGGACGGAGCTGATGCTGAACTGCCGGCTCTGCAGCACGCCGTCGAGCTCCGGCACGGGCACCTGCACGCTGACATACTGGCCTGGCTTGAAGCTGCGCAGGGGCGTGCCGTCCTTGGGCCGCAGGTACAGGCTGACGACGTCGTCAGACTCGACGCGGCGGCGGGCGACGACAAACTTGCGCCACGACTGCCACTCGGGGCCGGAGCCGTCGTAGAGCTGCTTCTCGCGCTGGATGAAGACGTCGGCCAGCTGGCCGTAGGCGGCGATCCAGGCGTCCTTGACGTCGTCGGTCAGGGCGTCGCCCAGGACGGTGGCAAAGGCGCCGACGAGGTGCTCGCCGACGATGGCGTACTGCTCGGGCTTGACGAAGAGCGAGGCGTGCTTGTGGGCGATGCGCTCGACGGCGCCGCGCAGGGCCGCCAGGTCGTCAATGTGCGCGGCGTAGGCAAAGACGGCGTCGGCGAGGGCTGCCTGCTGCGCGCCCGTGTGCTGGTTGCGCACCGAGAAGATGTTGAGCAGCTCCGGGTGCGCGCCGAGCATGGAGGCATAGAAGGTGGTGGTGATGGTGCGCCCGTGCTGCTTGACGACGGGCGCCGTCGACTTGACGATGGCGATTTGCTCTGCCGTGAGCGCCATTGCGGTGCGGTGGAGGTGCTGCTGATACTGCTGCTGCTGCTGCTGCTGCTGGTCGCGATGGCCAAGTGAAACTGAAGTGTATACAGCAAGACGCGTGTGTTATTCTGTTGCTGTGTGCTGTGTGCTGTTGGTCTGACTCTGTCTGAGGCCAAGATGTCTACTCCGTCTCACCCCTCACGACAACGGCGCCGGACCCTCGAGCGTCGCCCTCGCATCTTATAAGTCGCTCGCTCGCTCGCCACAGGCCGCGGCCGGCGCGCATTACAAACGTCGCACGACAGGGCGCCACGAGCCCGTCGACAGTAGGAGGAGCGCCCGACGTCCGGAGAACCGGAGATGCTGCGTCCAGGAAGAAAAGACGCAAGTCATGTAGCTATGTATGTACGTGTGTCGACTACAGTAGGCACGGCATCGGACGGGCCTGCGGGGGCCCAGGTTGTGAAGCTGAGATTTCGCCGGTGGTGACAAGCGAGTGGGCTGATATCATGGGCCCGGCGCAGGGAATATTCGGAACGGTGGTTGCGGCTCCACCGTGACGGCGCGCCGGGAACGTGGTGGGAGCCATGCGCCTGGACCCGTAATAATAATTAGTTGCGGCTTCGCCTTGGCCTTCCAGGGCGCGCGAGCGCCTTCCCTTTGGTTCCGTCGCTGCCTTGCTTCCGGGATCGCTCTTCGTCACCTTCTCGTGGCGAGGGTGGTCGAGGGATTCAGGCCTGGTCCCGCCGTCGCCGCCGCGTCGTGCCATCAATAGCCACAGCGTATGGTTGCCCGACAGGCGGCGCCCTCGGGACATGCGACGAGAGGCCCTGCTGGCCCCCCGGGGACGTTTGCCGACGACGGTGTTGCGGCGCTCGATCCGCATGGGTTGGGGATGCGTCGTCGGGTGCGACACGAGGGCTCTGCTCTCGGATTAAGCATAACGACAAGAGCAAACGGGCATTAGCTTGCTGCCGAGTCCGAGGGCGCGCTGCTCGTTGCTTGTCGACCGTGTTGCAAGCTACTGGCACGAAGCACGGCAGGGCACGCGCATGGCACGGCCGTCTGGGGCGCATGAAGTCATGCCACGTCGCTGCGGGCGCAACCTCCTCGCCGCGAGTTTGGTCCACGACCTGCAGGTGACGATGGATTGCAGTATTCTTCTGGCTACTGCTGGCTCTCTTCGCGTGTGCAGCGCCATGTCGCCGTCTTCAGCGGCCCGCGGCTGGCTGGCTGGCTCGCCTTCTCGCGTGGCTTCAACACACCCACCGCGGGAAGCGAGCCCGAGGCCCTGGGAGGGCGCGCGGCAGTGGCAGCATCGCGGCACAGGGGCGCAGGGGGCATCGCTACGAGCAATTCGTCCGCTCGCTCGGCGGATGAGAATCATGGCCCGCCTCATTGGCCGCCACGCCGCCGGGCAACCAGAGCAAACTTTCTTGGCTTTCCGAGAGGCAGCCGTCGTGCCACTTTTGACGACACACACGCCAGTGGCTTGCGGTGGCGGCGGTCGGGCCCGGGGCCGCGCGCACCCTTGGGAGTTGGAGCCGCGGCCGCCGCGTGACCTCGTCTCTCCCTGCCGCCGTCACCGGCGCGACATTCCCGGATCCTGGGGCTGGGGATTCGTCAAGACTGACCGTTGTCTCGCCCCGGCCTGAGGCGGCGGCGGCGGCGGCGACGACGACGACGACGAGACCGTCCCTTGCCCACGGGCGATGCGGAAAAATGCCGCATCAAACGTTGCTGTCCCTCACCATGTCCTTCCACGGCGGGCGGCTCTGTCCAGGCCGGGGCTCCCCGGACGACTCTCCCCGGTAGCCCCAAGTTGCCTAGTCCCCGCGCGCCGAGTGGGAGTCGTCCTTTCGACTTGGCGTTTGAGGTGCCGAGCTTGTTGCTCCCCTCGTCCAACCGCCGCCGCCCATCGAGTCGCCAAATTCGCGCCTTGTTTGTTGATATCTGCTGCATCTTTATGTCTGTCTGTCTGCCCGCGCCTTGCTTGGGCCCGTCGGCCCGTGCTCCTGAGTCCTAACGCACATCCATGCGCTGAGGCCCCCCCTCTCACAATATCGGCATTGACATCGACATCAACAGCAACACCCACGGAAGCTCAGCGGTGCGTTTCGAATTGCTGCAGCGCATCGGCGACGTGGTGGATCTCGCTGGCTTGTTCTCCTTGACGACCCGTTGAAGCCGTCTTGGTCTTACGCGAAACGGCCTAGACTCCGCCTTCAGTCTCCAGAAGCCCCCGCCATATTAGACAACCGGAAGCTGGCATGCTGGACGCGGCGCCTGGCTCAGCGTCGCCGCTGACGGACATCCGCTCCCTCCTTCTCCTTGATCTCGCCAAGATCCGGCTGTCTAACCGCCGCCCCCGTCGAGCTCTGCATCTCTCGGTAACATCCAATAGTAGCGGCAAGATCAGGGCATCACAGCGGCAAGACTACTTCCAGGTACCGCTTCAATTGCCACTCGACTCAATTGAGCGGACAGCCCAGCGGTGACGTCCAGGTAGGCGCCGTAGAGCTCATTCAGTACTACATTAGCATCACTGGGTGCATGATGCTTCGACCTCCCCCTTCCGGACCGCAGCTACGGCGCCGGCTTATCACCTGGGTAAGCCTCACGGCGTGCGTTCTCTTCCATGCGCGCAAGCCGCAAACTGCGCTCCTTCTGCTTCTTCCGCCTGTGCAGGATTGCCATGGCCACCAGCGCAGAGGCACCACCCAGCGAGCCAACGATAGCGCCAGCCATGGCAGCCCCTCCCATCTGCTGTCCATGACCAACAATCGCAGACGCCGACGGCTCCGGATTATTCGCGGCGGACTGTTTGGACGTAGCACCTACGCTCTTTGCCGCTGCCTCGTTGTCCTCACCGGGAACAGTGTGGTTGAAGCAGGGAATCCGGAAATTGAAGTCGGCCGCCGCCACGTATGTAATGTCAGCGCAAGCGTAGAAAGTCTGAAGATGAGGGGCATCCCAGTCAGCCTTATACGTGATCTGGAGCGTCGCGTTTGCGCCGGCCACGACTCGCGGGGGCGCATCGGGAATCTTGACGCAAGTGTGACCAGGGTCCAAATCGTGAATATCTGCGCTGTCGACTAGAGGGGAGAAGTCGGTGTTCGACTTTGGATCTGGGAGGTTCCATGTCAGAACGAAATCCACCACAAATGAGAAAGTGAGCCACGGCTCGGGTCCACACATTGCTGCACGAGGGCTCATACCGTTGGAGTAAGAGATGCTGATGCGGGTTTTGTAGTAGTCATCCTGGCCGGTGAATGAAATCGCGCCGCCCGCTGACACGGAAACGCGTAAGCCGCCATGCACTCCAGCTGTGGGGGATACGCACTCAGAGGAAACTTAGTTCTGTTTGCCGATGGTGCACGCGAGCCGCAAGGCGGCTGAGTATCCATGTCAGCAGACCACGGTCGGTCCGGTGGCCACATAATGCCCGCCGGGCCCATCGTGTCGTCCATGACTCGGGAATTTGAGGGTTTGCTCGGAGGTTTGCTACCTCTCTGGCCATCTTGTGCAATGGCATGAGTGAACAATCTTCCCAATGCGATGATGATGGACACTGTCCTAGCTTGCATCTTGCGCGGACGATGTATGGACAGGAACGTCAAGCCGGATGTATGTGTAATATATTGTGCAGCAAGTGTGTCACCTTGGAAAATGCAGATCAGGACATATATAATAACCGCCGTCTCGGTCGTCAGTGTGGCACTCAGAGGATGTACGGCGGCTGAAATTGGGCCAGCTAACGATGACAAAAGGACACGCTTGTCGTCACAAGACCAACCTGCTCTTGGCCTTTCAGCCCGTGTGCCAACTCATGCACATAAAACTCAAAGTAGCACAAGAATGGACTACTGTAAAAGCTACTAAATCGTCTCCCCAGATGGGCCGATTCCTCATCTCTCTGGATCCGTTCGGCCGAGCTCCTCGTCTTCACACATTATCAAGGGTTTCAGGCCTTTGACAGCGATTTGAAGAGGCTTCAGGTAGGTCAAAGCCCTCGGCTGAAGAGAAAGAACGCACCCGGATCCGTAAGTCGTACTCCCTTTTCTTGTGGCGAGCCAGGCCATTTGCAGTCCGCTTTGCATGCTGAGGTCTGAAGCGTCGTACAGCATGACACGGAACATGTGGCTGTCTGCTTGAGGACCTTAACATTACGCACGGTATACGGCCTGGGTTGTTCCGCATGACTGTGGGTGGAGTTTGAACATAACCACGGTACGCGGCAGCGCATGTATTCTTACTCTTGCGAGGCAGAGAGGCAATAATGACAGTTCAGTCAAACAAAAATTGGTATATGCAGTACATACTATGATGTACATAATAACCGCAATTCAGGAGCTTTCGGTATCTCATAGCCCTCAGGCCCGTGGCTCGCGTGACACATTAAACCGCAAGCGTGACATGATCCTTACGATGAAGGAACGACGCAATCCACTCATCGCGTGACTTTCTGACCTATAGCGTGGAATTAAGTTTTATTTGAGCTTGACATTCTTTGGTGGCTCTTCTGTATGCTTGTGTGCATAAGCACTGTCAATGGGGAAACTATGCCTTGTGCCTTTACATGTAGAAATAACTTGCTTTTCGCCATTCTGCTCGAGCACCGGAAGTATTGAATCGAGATCTCCTCTGCTGTCGGCTCGAGTGACAAGGTTATAGACTAAACTCAGAACCGTCAATATGAAACAGTCCTCAGTCATTGCTTTGCTCGCAGCTGCGGGGGCTCCTCTTGCGAGCGGCAGGCCGATGAAGCGCGGACAGATCGCAGTCACGAGGACTCTTCCCCCCGCCCCGTTTGAGAATATACCCCAATCATCGACAAACATCAATCTTGATCTATCAATGTTCAGTTACGGCTGGCGAAAAGACACTGATCAGTTTAGGTGCCACGGAACGTGTGGTAATCCCATCTCCCCTGTTCCACAGAAACTGTTTTCGACGACATGGCTGGACACACATATGCTGATGAATCGAATGGCAGGAATCCTCGTACGAATCTCCAGATCCGATGAGAAATGCAGGCATCCCTTGGCAGAACGCTTCGCGAAGTACTGCCTTGGACCTCAATTTTGCGCTTCGCTCAGTGATAAGGGCGCCCAGTACCCGCCGGCAGTGCAGTTCCAGAAACTTTGCAACTTTGATCTGGGCCTGCCTCGCCCGGAATATCTTGCCGACCAAGCCCAGCCCGACCCTGATGCGGCAAGGGGCGTTGCAGCGGCAACCGGGCCTGGCGAAGCGAGTCCCAGCTGGAAGAAAGACGGTAAAAGCAATGGCAAAGAGTCTTTCACTCCGGTTTCCACTGGCGCCACGCCATCTGGGTACATTGCCGCGCCAGACGGCTCGCGCAATATGTCCAGCAAGCTGGCATCTCTGAAGTCGACCCTTGCCGGCGATAAAGGCAGCCCGACCCCCCAGACCAAAAGCATCGCCGAGGGCGCCACCATGGGTACGGAATGGCCCCAGTGACACGCTGTGAGAGAGTGGCGAGACTGACGCGCGTTAAAACATAGACCGCAAGCGCAGGCGCACCTGCTGACCCCTGCCGAAACGATGTATAGTGCTCAGTGCAAGTTCTTGTGCAAGTTCTTGAGGGTGAATAAGCTGTCCGACTTGACGCTGGAAAGAGCAGCGGTTTGAGCGAAGGGCCAGGGCGCGTCTCAGCGGGTCATTGGTGGTAGTACGGGTGCTCCAAAACGGCACCGCGACGATCCATGTCGTCAATTGAGGACGCCGTGTTCTTCACCGAAGAGAGTCTTCCTATCAATACATCCTCTTTCTGCCGTCCTGGCGTGTCAATTCCCCAAACTTTGCGAGCAAGGAGCCTCAGAACCCCAGCGCGGGTTCGTGTCCACGGAGATGACACCATTGTGCTTATGCCCGGCCGGGCGACGATGACGATGTCTCATCGCGAGTGCCCGACCGCGCGTGCCTCGAACAACACGACCACCATCCCTCCTGATGCATGTGCCGACGACGACCACGGGTCGCTTTCGACCCCGGCTGACAAATTGACAGGCGTATCGGGGCAATCTGCGCCGGCACGCCAGCGGTGGACTGGCGCCGTTTATTAATTGAGCATGTCGAATCGAGCCGACACCGAGCTCCGACTGCCAAGACCAGGCCGTGGTGCTGCGCCCGATGGATGAGCGCAGGTCGAGCACTTCGACAGCGCGCCGCATTTATAGTCTTGTCCTTTGCCTAGTGTTTGCAAAACTGACTCGCAATTGGATCAGCATCTTCAAACATGGCCGCGTCTAAACCACTCAACGCGCTTGTCGTCGGCGCAAATGGCTATCTTGGCTCCGCGATTTGCCGTGCCCTCCTCCGGGCTCACACTCCTCCCTTGTCGTTCTTCCGCGTGCACGGCATCGTTAGACGCGGGTCTGCCGCCCCAGCACTGGCCGCCGAGGAAGTCAATCCCATCGTGGGCTCTGTGTCTGAGCCGGAGGCTCTGGCTGCAAAGGTGCTGTCGCACTCGCGTACCTGGGACATTGTCGTCATATGTACCGAGCCGTCGAAGCTCAGTCGCGACGCAGAGGACACGCACTGGCGCGATATGCTGTCATTCCTCAAGAGCATCGCTGCAGCGTCGTCATCGGCGGAGCCGCCCGTTCGGCCATTGGTACTCTGGTCCTCCGGCTGCAAGGACTACGGTGCAACGAAGCTTCACGGTGACCCCGAACTGTTGCCTCATACCGAAAACTCACCCTTGATCCCTCACCCGCTTGTTGAAGCGCGCATGAAAGGTGCCACACGCTCGCTTGAGGAATCGCAGGACGGTGGAGGAGGGGCGGGCTTCGACATGACCATTCTGCGAGCAACCCCCTTGTTTGGCTACACCGGCAGTTACTACGGTGCGCTCCTCGACTACATGGACGCCTACGTCGCAAATTCGGGACGCAGTGGGGAAGTGCTCAAGATTCCATCGTCTCCTCGTACCATAATCCACGGGATCCACGTCGACGACTGTGCAGATGCATATGTCGCGCTCGCCACTACCGCCCTCTTCGGCCGGGGTCCTGACCACACCCCAGCCCGTTCGGCCCTTGCTGGTCAGGCGTTCAACATATCTGGTCGACGCTATGAGACGCTTCAGGAAATTGCCGCTATCCTTGCCATAGAGTATGGCTTCACCGACGTGGCGTTTGTCGCATCGATCGACGAGCTCCCACCGGCGATCCAGCGACTGAGTGGCGTCGACTTCGTCTTTGGACACAGTCAATGGGTGGATAGCAAGAAGATACGAGCCGCAACGGGCTGGACTGACTCGCGTCCACTATTTCATGAGAACGTCGGCGTGTTCCGCAGGGCATACGACGCGGCCAAGGCGCAGGGAGACGAGAAGGTGGAGACGACACGGCGGCGTATTGGAGGACTTTGGTCCGACGAAAAGAGGACCACGTGAGATTTTAGTCTGGCCATGGCAGATACGGATTGCCGCATTGTCAATCATAGTCGGCGGCAGGGTTTTTGTCTACGAACCATCGTGTGTTTGGTCAAGCCTGAGAAGCGTACCCATCCATCACGTGTTGAAACATAGACACTTCCTGACAGGCTTAAGGCTGGAACTGTCTCAGAGTAGAATCAGCCATCAAAATTGCCTCTTGCGCGACTAATGCCATATTTTAGACCGGCAACAGACACTGCGCGTAGATTGGGCTGTATGCCGTGCAAACGCCCTGCTCACATTCAGTTGGCCCGGTCCATCCTAAACCTCCACATTGACCATAGAGCGGGGCTTTGGGAACAGTGACAGTTGTCGTAGGCAAGCTTTGAGAAGTGGTTGAAGTGGTAAGGGGTGTGGTTGTAGTTGAGGGAGAACCTCCACCACCTGGCTTGAAGCCGCTGGTGATCTGGTTTACTTGGTTGACAATAGCAGCCATCTGAACGCCTAGCCGGTATTTTAGTTGGTTGCTCCAAACAGAATCGCCCCGAAGCTTCAGGGTCTCTCTCACCTCCCTTTTGGTCTGCATTCTGGCCATACCAACCGACCCAGTCCCAGCACCCGTTTGGATTGGGGAGCAAACCTTGCCAGGCCTGTCGAGGTGTAGAGTCGTGAACGGCTTGGGGATACAGGATCAAGATGTCATTTGCATCTTGACGAACTGTTAGCCACACATGACTCTGTGTATCGAAGTAATAGCACGCCAATATCGCCATGTCTCACCTGCCCACAAATTGTACCCGGTGCTCACCGTGTACTTGTTCTGGATGTCTGCAATAGTCTGCAAGCACCCATGGAGAGAGACGTGCAGCTTGCAGACCTTTGATCCGTCTTGGCAGGACTTAGGGACGTACAGGTAGCCTGTCTGACCCATGCCAGAAGACCCGTACTTGCCTGACTGGGCGAAATTGACAAACGTTCCCTGGGCGGCAGAGGATCGAGCTTGTAGAGTGCCGTACATCCACTTCAAAACCGCGCCGGCGCCATCGTAGCCGCAGTTGGATATGTATGGCGACGAACTAGATCCACAGGCATTGTTGCCACTGCTGTCAAAGTCTGTGGGAAAGGTGTGTGCCTGTCCAGACCGGGACACAAACGCAGTGTTTGCTGCCGTCGAGAAGCCAGATAACTGTTGTTTCAGGGCGTTCATGGGGTTTGGACCGACGGTGAAGTCTGATGTGCCGACTTCCATGAATATTTTGCGCTGCTTTAGATTCGCTACATCATCAATCTGGCTTCCGCTCCATGTTTTCATGTTTTGCGTTGGAGTTTGGATATTAGGGTTCCCGTTGTTCATACACATGGAGTACTGGGGCATTTGTGAGAGGCTGTGCGCAGATCTATGAGCAACGTAGAGCCACTGACCTGCTGATTTCGAGCACAGTCGAAAGGGCCGCCGGCAAAGACACCAAATCCGGTGCGGAAAGTGCCGGAATATGCAATGCCAAGCTGAGCCGCCATGAAGCCACCAGATGAGAGTCCGGACACAGATACGGAACCTGGGTCGACATTGTATGAAGGAAGGTCCACCGCCATGGCATTTTCGACTGATGACAAGGCCACCAAAACAATGCAGGCCTTGCTGCCGAAGGTATGCATGATAGCGTCTGGAGCTCGTTGGGGGTCGCGTTGAAGTTTGCAAAAGACGGATCGATTTGCATAAGTTGTCATATCTCCATCTAACCCGTGAAGGTAGGCCCAAGGTATTTATTACTCTCTGGAGCATTTGGGCAAGCCTATTCTACCAAGCGCCAGCTCATGTGATCTGCTGGTTCGGATCCGACAAGCATATAGAGTCGCCACGACTTACCCCGCGTCAATCCTGTAAAACATGGGCTCCCTTGGTTTCTGGCATCCACTTTGTGCTATCCTAAGATCCCCCAATCATGTTGGTCACTTTACTTAGGTAACCATATGTCCTTTTGCCAGGGTGAGGCCCACCGACTCCTGACGGAGAGAAGGCAGAATCAGCCTCAGAGGTACCAGACGGAATGTTGTTTTGTCGGCTAGGTTTGCTGCCTCATCGGCACGTTTACTCCTATCTGATGGTCGAGAGATCACGCGAGGTTCAACCAAAAACTGGTCTCGGTAGTTCTATGATGCCGTACTACGGACTTTCTGGTACATCTTGTGGTCGAATATCTGCAAGACCATGGCCAAGAAGCGACTGGAGCCGAACTCTCGCACTACGGATCCGAACCTCAACCATGAGATGGCGCTAGCGAGATAATATCGGAACAGGATGAGGTGTTTGGCATACACTTAAGTAGCCAGTCGAGGTACTACACACGCCAAATAAGACAGAACTGTGTTGAGAGACATGCTGGGGTAGCTCGGGTTGTGAGATCGTAGCCTCTATTTCGCTTCCATGTGCGGAAATGCACCATAAAGGCGTTGAATCATCCACGTCCGGCGTGTTATTGGACATTCTGTTAGGGGCCACGAAGAGTTTCAAGCGATATGTTCCAGAGGATCAACTACCCCGCGTTTTGGCGTCGAGCATCTGGAAAATGGTGGATTCTCGGCGACAAGCCACGCTTTGACTAGCGTCTTGCATCAAAGATTGCGGGGAAGTCAAGATCTGTTGGTGGGGAGGTGCCACTTGACCTGGCCCCTTTGTGGGCCGATCAGCGGTCCGTCTTCGAAATCAGCAACATACATTGTTGTGGTGGGTAGCCGAGACAGCCAAGACAGCTTATCGTGAAATTCCGGCGTACAGTCGAAGCTGCAAGGACCTTTTCTCGAAAATTACGCAAGTCATGTAGGAGATGTGGAACCTGCAGCTAGAGAACACGAGAAAAGGAGTTTGAAACTTCGGGCATGGGCGTCGGACAGCAGTGGAGCGAGTGAAATCTCCACGCTTTTCGTCTGGATCGTCAACAGTGTTCGAGGAAATACTGGGTATGATGGTTCTATAAAGCCTGGGGGAGGCCCCTGCAGAGTTCCTGCGGAACTCCCCTAAGAGCCGTGCATCCTTGCTGCGAGGAAGCTGTCCATTATGTCTCTTCCTTCCGCAGAGCCACTACCCTCGGTATCTCTGGGAAACGACATGAATCCATGAGGGGCACCCGGTATGATCTTTACGGTGACCTCGCCACCGGCAACCAGCCAACGAGTGCTCATGAACAGGGTGTCGTCCAGGAGGTAGTCCTCGGTGCCGCAAGTGAACAGCGTCGGCGGCAGCTTACCCCTGAGTCTATCAAGCTCTGCGTACAACGGGCTCAGTTCCGCCTTGTCGAGGGTTGCATCTGTCCAGCCCGGGACGAAAGCATCACGAAACGCAGACAGTATCCGCAGATCTAGTACCAGACTTGGAACACGCCTCGAAACTTCATATACGCTGGGCAGCCAGCGGAGTGAAAAACATCCATAGTGAAGCAAGAGACCCTTCAAGCGAAACTCAGAGTATCTCCCGATGCCATGCTGTAACATATACAACACCGCGAGCAGGGATAGGTGTGCGCCAGCCGATTCACCTCCAACGAAGCACAGAGGCGCACCAAAGCGCTGCTGGGCATGATCAACAAGCCATTCGGCGACATCGAAGCAGTCCTGCGGTCCTGACGGGAAAGGAAATTCGGGTGCAAGTCGATAGCCAACAGAAATGCAGACCAGGTTGTGGGCGTTTGCAACATCTTGGAGAAGTGTGTCCTGTGACTTCTCGTCACCCAAACACCAGCCACCACCGTGAACGTGCATGAGGACGCCGTCCACGACTGCCTCGGTTTGTGGTCTGAGAATGCGACATGGTATAGAGCGGTCTCTATCCCGAGAAGGTATGGAGATATCGGTAGCGTCAGGTAGATAAATTGTCCCCGGAAGTATTGTAGTGCCATTGGCTCGAAGTTGACGATATTCGGCGGCTCCTACGTCGTACCATCTGGTGGCCGTCCGTGACTGAACTTGAAGTCGATCGGTGAAGGCTCGTGAGGCGTCGGAAACGACCGTAGGATCAAAGATTTGACGTTCAAGGCAGAAACTGCCTGTGGAAGACATGCTTCCAAGTGCTCCTGCCTAGGTCGCGTCTGCGGCGGTGGAATTACGATAATCTTTCGATCAGGATCAGGTTCGATTAGAGACATACACTTCAAGTTTACGAGGGCACCACAAGCTGCGGTCACAGCCTCTAAATGACGAGGCTTCCTTGGTCGGCCGCGTACACTTACTATGGTAATTATCGGATCCGATGGCACAGATCCCTGCATCAGACAGTCGCGAAATGCGACGGAACAAAACCCTCGGCCTGTTCGGGGTGCGTGTTATCGGAACCGACGGCGTAAAGATGTCGCCATCAGACAACTTTATCTGAACTTTAGAGCCATTTCCCCCCATGCGGCGAAAAGCCTAGCGAAGCCCACGCTCTTGCGATGCAAGGTCCAAGCCGTTGCCTAAACGGTCTTAGTAGCGCGCTGACCAAGAGGTTTTAGATGATGTCGACCGCGCCTGGAACATCTGCGGTCGGATCCGACGAGATCAAATTGGCAATCCGAACGCAATAGGCATCTTCGAGTAAATCCACCGAAACAGGGCAAGCAAGAAGTGAGACAGCGGTAGCGCGACGATTTCAGTCTTGAATTGAACTGGCTGCGCAAAATTGCCTGGGCGCGCGTCGTGGCTTGCGTGACGAAGTGATCGCGGTTGGTGCGGCTCGGATCCGTCCAGTCTTGGCTCGACACGAACACCGCCACGCATATAAGAAGGAGGAACAGATGTAACGATGGTAGTAGACAGCAACGACGGTCTTTTCAAAACCCTGACTTTAACACGACAGAATTCGGGGACAAGTCTCCCGTCTTCCCGCAACGATGGCTACCGACCTGGAATCCCACAAGGAACCCTCAGTGGAGGATCACGAGCTCCAAATCGCGAAAACAGAGCAGTCAAATTCCATGGCATCCCAATACGAGTCGTGCATTGCTTTATTCACCCCTGCGGAGCAGAAAAGCATCATACGCCGCATTGACTGTCGCCTTGTCTCGACTCTGGGCTTCCTCTACGCTGTGTCTCTTATGGACCGCAACAATACCGGAATTGCAATGATTGCTGGTATGTCAGTCGACTTGGAGATGATCGGAAACCGGTACTCTCTAGTAGTGCTGCTTTTTTTTGTTCCGTATGTCCTGTTTCAACCGCCTGTTACGGTTCTTCTTCGCAAAATTGGCCCGAAACCGTTTCTTGCAGCAACTACGCTCGTATGGGGATTAGCCACAATAGCATCGGGCTTTGTGAAGTCTTGGTCCGACTTGATTCCCTTGCGGCTTATCCTAGGGGCATGTGAAGCTGGGTTCTTTCCAGGTAAGCCGACGGCTAGTTCCACGACGTTACAGGCACGCTGCTTATCCTTCGCTATCACCCAGGCTGCGCATACCTGTTGAGTTGCTGGTATCCTCGTTACGATTTGCAAAAGCGAAATGCCGTCTTTTACATGATCGGAACAACTCTATCGGCCTTCAGCGGCATACTGGCGCTTGGGTTCTCACAGTTGGAAGGTCGTGGGGCTGGGCCACAGTGGTGGGGACGAGTCCAGGCCGTGGTAGGTGGTGGTAATTCGAAGGGAGACGGTATATCTGGATGGCGGTGGATTTTCATCCTACAAGGCACCCTGACTTGTATCATTGCCTTCGCCGCGTACATCCTAGTGTTGGGATTCCCGGACGTGAAAGAAACCACTTGCGGTTTTCATCTCAGCAACCGGGAGGCGGCTTTCGTCGTGGCGAGGATCGAGCTAGATCGACAGGATGCGACACCCGAGAAGTCTGTCCCTTGCACCCATTGACATAGTCTACACGTATAACTGACAGCGTCTAGGTTCAATTTCCGCGAATACTTATCCCACGCATTGGACATCAAAATATGGGGCTTTGCGGCTCTTTTTGGACTTACAACGGTCAACACCTATGCTATTGCTTACTTTCTTCCTCTTATCCTGCGGAATGGAATGGGCTTTAGTGTTGCCGCATCGCAGTGCCTCGTTGCACCACCTTACGTCGCCGCTGGACTGACGATGTTTTTGTTTGCTTATCTAAGTGATAAATATCGCGTCAGGTCTCCATTCATTCTTTTCAATGGCTGTCTTCTGCTTATAGGTGAGCGCAGCTCTGTGGGCCCTGAGTCCTTTAACATCTCGCTGAACGAACCAGGCCTGCCACTTCTCGGCTTTGTGGAGAATACAGGTGTTCGCTACTTAGGTGCATTTATTACTACTACAGCATGTAATGCGAACGTGCCTTGCATCTTGACGTGGCAGGCAAACAACATTCGAGGTCAGTGGAAGCGAGCCTTCTGCTCCGCCACACTTGTTGGAACCGGTGGCATCGGAGGCATCGTTGGAACTACAGTGTTTCGCAGTCAAGACTCACCAACATACCGACCGGGGATGTACGCTACCATTGCTGCGAGTGCTCTCATCATCATCATCACGCTACTGCTGGATTGGAAGCTGAGCAGGGCCAACAAGCGCGCCGCAAGTGGCGGTAGACCCGTCGCAGCCTTGGATGGATTTCGGTATACACTCTAGCATAATCATGAAGGCTTGAGCCAGTTGAACACTGGACATGTTGGAGCCTACTGGACAAAAATATCAATGGATCGTGGTATTGCTACGACTGCATGATGAGCTCGATTCTTATGTTTACCAAGTCCCCCGTGAACTCGCCGTGGGCCGCCGTGGAGCATCGGCTTACTATATAGGTCTAACTTAGCTTCTCCAACCATGTATAACCAATGTGACCTCATTAGAATATGAAGCTGCGGTCGGTAAGGGCAGCCAAGGTACAGCAGAGCCCTGGTCACGCTCATGGAAATAATTGCATTCATATCTGATGACCTATTTACCTCCACGTATCTGTTTTCCCTGTGTATGGCACCAGGCGAGATTGTCTTATAT